TGTCACTTAAGCTCTGTTTCCCCTATCCTCTCCTCAAACATTTTTATATACAGTGCATTTGGAAAGTATTCAGACCCCTTGACTTTTTCCAAATGTTGTTACGTTACTGCCTTATTCTAAAATTGATTAAATAAATAAAAAATCCTCATCAATCTACACACAATACCCCATAATGACAAAGCCAAAACAGGTTTTTAGACATTTTTGCTAATAAAAAAACAAAAAATAAATAAACAGAGGTACCTTATTTGCATAAGTATTCAGACCCTTTGCTATGAGACTTGAAATTGAGCTCAGGTGCATCCTGTTTCCATTGATCATCCTTGAGGTGTTTCTACAACTTAATTGGAGTCCACCTGTGGTAAATTCAATTGATTGGACATGATTTGGAAAGGCACATACCTGTCTATAGAAGGTCCCACAGTTGACAGTGCATGTCAGAGCAAAAACAAGCCATGAGGTTGAAGGAATTGTCCGTAGAGCTCCGAGACAGGATTGTGTCGAGGCACAGATCTGGCAAAGGGTACCAACACATTTCTGCAGCATTGAGGGTCCCCAAGAACACAGTGGCCGCCAAGACTCTTCCTAGAGCTGGCCGCCCAGCCAAACTGAGCAATCAGGGGAGAAGGGCCTTGGTCAGGGAGATGACCAAGAACCCGATAGTCACTCTGACAGAGCTCCAGAGTTCCTCTGTGGAGATGTGAGAACCATCCAGAAGCACAACCATCTCTGCAGCACTCCACCAATCAGGCCTTTATGGTAGAGTAGCCAGACGGAAGCCACTCCTCAGTAAAAGGCATATGACAGCCCGCTTGGAGTTTGCCAAAAGGCACTTAAAGGACTCTTAGACCACGAGAAACAAGATCCTCTGGTCTGACGAAACCAAGATTGAACTCTTTGGCCTGAATGCCAAGCGTCACGTCTGGAGGAAACCTGGCAAAATCCTTATGGTGAAGCATGATGGTGGCAGCATCATGCTGTGGGGATGTTCTTCAGTGGCAGGGACTGGGAGACTAGTCAGTATCGAGGGAAAGATGAACGGAGCAAAGTACAGTCGTGGTCAAAAGATTTGAGAAATACACAATTATTGGTCTTCACAAAGTTTGCTGCTTCAGTGTTTTTAGATATTTTTGTCAGATGTTACTATAGTATACTGAAGTATAATTACAAGCATTCCATAAGTGTCAAAGGCTTTTATTGACAATTACATTAAGTTTATGCAAAGAGTCAATATTTGCAGTGTTGACCCTTCTTTTTCAAGACCTCTGCAATCTGCCCTGGCATGCTGTCAATTAACTTATGGGCCACATCCTGACTGATGGCAGCCCATTCTTGCATAATCAATGCTTGGAGTTTGTCAGAATTTGTGGGTTTTTGTTTGTCCCACCCGCCTCTTGAGGATTGACCACAAGTTCTCAATGGGATTAAGGTCTGGGGAGTTTCCTGGCCATGGACCCAAAATGTCGACGTTTTGTTCCCCGAGCCACTTAGTTATCACTTTTGCCTTATGGCAAGGTGCTCCATCATGCTGGAAAAGGCATTGTTCGTCACCAAACTGTTCTTGGATGGTTGGGAGAAGTTGCTCTCTGAGGATGTGTTGGTACCATTCTTTATTCATGGCTGTGTTCTTAGGCAAAATTGTGGTGAGCCCACTCCCTTGGCTGAGAAGCAACCCCACACATGAATGGTCTCAGGATGCTTTACTGTTGGCATGACACAGGACTGATGGTAGCGCTCACCTTGTCTTCTCCAGACAAGCTTTTTTCCGGATGCCCCAAACAATCGGAAAGGGGATTCATCAGAGAAAATGACTTTCCCCAGTCCTCAGCAGTCCAATCCTTGTACCTTTTGCAGAATATCAGTCTGTCCCAGATGTTCTTCCTGGAGAGAAGTGGCTTCCTCGCTGCCCTTCTTGACACCAGAAGTCTTCGCCTCACTGTGCGTACAGATGCACTCACACCTGCTTGCTGCCATTCCTGAGCAAGCTCTGCGCTGGTGGTGCTCCGATTCCGCAGCTGAATCAACTTTAGGAGACGGTCCTGGCGCTTGCTAGACTTTCTTGGGCACCCTGAAGCCTTCTTCACAACAATTGAACCTCTCTCCTTGAAGTTCTTGATGATCCGATAAATGGTTGATTTAGGTGCAATCTTACTAGCAGCAATATCCTTGCCTGTGAAGCCCTTTTTGTGCAAAGCAATGATGACGGCACGTGTTTCCTTGCAGGTAACCATGGTTAACAGAGGAAGAACAATGATTTCAAGCACCACCCTCCTTTTAAAGCTTCCAATCTGTTATTCTAACTCAATCAGCATGACAGAGTGATATCCAGCCTTGTCCTCGTCAACACTGTCACCTGTGTTAACGAGATAATCACTGACATGATGTCAGCTGGTCCTTTTGTGGCAGGGCTGAAATGCAGTGGAAATGTTTTTTGGGATTAAGTTCATTTTCATGGCTAAGAGGGACTTTGCAATTAATTGCAATTCATCTGATCACTCTTCATAACATTCTGGAGTATATGCAAATTGCCATCATAAAAACTGAGGCAGCAGACTTTGTGAAAATTTATATTTGTGTCATTCTCAAAACTTTTGACCACGACTGTACAGAGAGATCCTTGATGAAAACCTGCTCCAGAGCACTCAGGACCTCAGACTGGGCGAAGGTTCACCTTCCAACAGGACAACGACCCTAAGCACACAGCGAAGACAAAGCAGGAGTGGCTTTGGGAAAAGTCTCTGAATGTCCTTGATTGGCCCAGCCAGAGCCCGGACTTGAACCCGATCGAACATCTCTGGAGAGACCTGAAAATAGCTGTGCAGCGACGCTCCCCATCCAACCTGACAGAGCTTGAGAGGATCTGCAGAGAAGAATGGGAGAAACTCCCCAAATACAGGTGTGCCAAGCTTGTTTCGTGATATCCAAGAAGACTCGAGGCTGTAATCGCTGCCAAAGGTGCTTCAACAAAGTACTGAGAAAAGGGTCTGAATACTTATGTAAATGTGATATTTCCATACAAAATTCTAAAAGCCTGTTTTTGCTTTATCATTATGGGGTATAGTGTGTAGATTGATGAGGGGAAAAAAATATTTTAATCCATTTTAGAATAAGGCTGTAACAAAATGTGGAACAATTCAAGGGGTCTGAATACTTTCCGAGTGCACTGTACAACATCCTGTTTTCCTTTGAAAGAGAACAATTTACAATGTGACATTTTGAAATGGCTAAACATTTCAATTAGATAGAATACTACATCAGTGTATAAGTCGAAGTATAACACATGTTGAAAAGAAATACGACTTCATTCAAAACACACATTAAGGCTCCCTTGATAAACCAGGTCATTGACTTAGTGGCTGACCTGACAAAAGGTAAACTAAACAAATAAACCAATCAAAAGGTCCTTCCACCTGGTGTCCCAATCCAATGGCTTAATAACCTTTGACCTGGAAGTGTTCCCCCTGGAGCGTGATTCCCTTCTTTGAGCCAGGCTGTGTGAATGGTGGTCACATGACGTGACTTGGCTCTTGGTGGCAGAAAGCAAGTGACTAGGATTGGCCCTGCATTACAGTAGGGGTATTGATTCAGCTAGATTAGGAGGGGATCTCCCTCTCCCTCTTTCTCACCCTCTCTCTCCCTCTCATTCTCCCTCTCTCTCTCCTTTTCTCAGCCCCCCCCGTCTTCGTTTCTGACACCCTCTCTCCCTCTCTCTCTCCCTCTCTCAATGAGGCTTTCATGTGACCCACCTGCTGAACGAGCGCCGCTCTGCCCCCAAAGAGCCCCCTCTGTTCTGCTTTCCTATGGAGCCCGCTCCCTCTCCTTCCCTCATTCACAGTTCACACGCCTGCCCCTGTGTAGCTGCCCCTGTGTTTGTCCAACGTCGTTTGTCTAAACGTAAACCAACCAGCGCGGTTCTTGCCAGTTTGTTGCTGGGCTGGGTAAAGCTGAGCTGAGGGGTTCGGGTGTAGGAAATGCCACACAGGGTTTCTGGATGCTCGGACGGTTGTTGAACATGAACGTCGCCATGATGCTTGGCCTTAAGAAGATGAGTTATGAGAAGATGAACGACTACTATGGGGACCCGGATAGTCCCTTTTGTCAGGTTTGGTTTGTTTGTCCTCTTAACTCTTTATATTGTTGTGATTTTGATTTACTTGGCTTAAGCCCTTGGCACTTATGAGGAACATAGGCCGTTGACAAATGTCTCCCATCTCACTCGGTTCAGGGGAAGTTTTTACAGGTCGCACCTGTTAGATTGTTGTGAGGCTGGTAATAATGCAGTGGTCAAGAGCATTGGTGTTGGTTGTCTTTGTACTGTATAGGGGGATTGATCGGTCGGCAGGGCGGTGTTATAAGCTAAGCGGTCGGTGTGACTTGACTTCGTTAAAGCCTCTCAAACCGCTTTGATCAGCTCCGTCATGGGCTCTCTATTGAGTGTATAGAATGTACATCTCTGACTGCCAGATGAAGGTCTTTTTTTGTTGTGATTCTTAGTTGTAACTCCATCCTCTCTGGATGTTGATCCGGGCTTTGATAATGCATCCAATGTTGTTAGCTGTCACTTCATTCATGGTTCACATTACATCTTAGTCCACTCATAAGGTCAATCTAAGCTGAGTAACCAGTTGGAATGACATCAAATCTGCAAATCTGCAACAGGGAACTGCTAAACCTTGAAGACCAATGTTGAGGTTCTCCTAGCGTAGCATGGTATACCTGCTAGGGCTCTGTTCCAGTTTCCCCACTAGTGGTTGCCTGCATACCATCAGTTTCCTGAACACCCACCCCTGGCTGTACACCTTAACTTTTGACCTCTGATCTCTGCCCTCATTGACCTCACTGAACCTTTCCTTTCACCAGGTGACCAAGCAGATCCATGAGCATGAGCAGGAGAATGAGCTGCGGGAGCAGATGTCGGGGTATAAACGTATGAGACGGCAGCACCAGAAGCAGCTGATTGCTCTGGAGAACAAGCTGAAGGCAGAGATGGACGAACACCGACTGAAGCTGCAGAAGGAGGTGGAGACCCAGGCCAACAATGCCTACATAGAGCTGGAGAAACTAGCTAAGAGACATGCCGTCCACTGTGACAAAGAGGTAGGTTTGGTGCGGGGGGGTCTAGGGAGGGGAGTGGTTGGGGGTCCTGACCTAGAGAAACTGGCTTGTCCTGGAGAAGTGCCATGCCGTCCTCACAGAGAAGGGGTCTGGGGAGGTATGGGGATGTTAACCTCTTTACTTTGGGGAGAGGGCAACTCACTCATGTTATGGGTTGGGCATTGCTGCCACTCAATGTCGAGAAGATGTTAAAAAGAAAACTAGGTCATCTGTAACTCTGCAAACTAGGCTAACCTCCATGATCCAGCATGCCCTCCAGAAAGCTAGCTAGCAAAACAACATTAGCCATTTGTTTTGTCCCTCTTCTGCTCTCTCCCATACGAGGCCCCTTCACAGCTAACTAACATCTCTGCCTCTCTCTCTCCCCCCTCCCCTCAGATGAAGACAACGTCAGCAGACGAGAGGAAGTTCCAGCAGCAGATAGTGGCCCAGCAGAAGAAGGAGCTCACCACCTTCCTAGATAATCAGAAGAAGCAGTACAAGCTCTGCAAAGAGAAGATTAAAGAGGTCCGCAACGCTATGTTTGTTTATGTCCTCTAGCTGTGTGTCTGTTTGTGTCCACTAGCTAGCTAACACTGTACCCCCCTCTTCCCCTGCCTCTTGTATAGTATGATTAATCTCCGAACCCTGTATCACAAGAGACTATAGAATGATACATTCGATATGATGTGTATTGTGCTGGGTAGTATCAGCCCTCCTCCGAATACACACACACACACACTTGCAAATACACACAAACATACACAAGTACAGTATGTCCGTCATGCCTTTTACTGAGAAGGAGCTGAGTCATCCCTCCTACTCACTACACACACGCGCACACACACACACACACAAGTTGTGTTTTTGTTTCTAAGAACCTTGACACACTATTTCTCAAAACTGGAGCCATTGCTGTGGATTGTTGGATACGTCATGTTTCACTTAGTGACCGGATCTAGAACATCTCTGTTAACAGAGGCATTGTTGGCCTGGATTGATATATATCCCAACAAACTGTAGGTAGAGATGAATCATTCCACACAGAGAGATCAGGGATCTAATACACTTAATAAAGTGTTTTTAGCTAGAGAGTGTATTAAGACATGGTTTGTGCCCCCAATGGCACCCTATTCCCTATATAGTGCACTACTTTTGACCAGAGTCCAGAAGTAGTGCACTAAAATTGTAATAGGGTACCATTTGGGATACAGCCATGGATTTACCATAACATCCATGAAACCGAATGGGGACAGACACTAACTGCAGGGATCGTTCACCCAAAAACATGGAATTTCTGTGATGCAGCCTGAGTCAGAAATTAGTGACAGAGGGTACTGAAAAGTTTGACTAAAGTTTGCCAACAAAATGACCTGGAAACACCTGGGTGATCATCAAGACTCTTGGAAGAATGTTCTATGGACAGATTATTAAAAAGTATAACTTTTTGAACGGCATGGGTCCCATTATGCCTGTCGAAAACCAAACACTGCTTTCCACAGTAAGAGACTCATACCAAAAGTCAAGCATGGTGGTGATAGTGTGATGGTTTGGGGATGCTTTGCTGCCTCAGGACCTTAATAGAAGGATCCATGAATTCTGCTCTGCATCAGAGAATTCTACAGGAGAATGTCAGACCATCCATCTGTGAGCTGAAGCTGAAGCTGAAGCGCAACTTGGGTCATGCAGCAAGACAATGATCCAAAACACACAATCAAGTCTACATGAAAATCGCTAAAAAGCCAAAAAGTCAAAGTCCTAATTCCAATTGAGATGTTGTGGCAGGACTTGAAACGAGCAGATCATGCTTGAAAACCCACAGCAGTTCTGCATGGAAGAGTGGGCGAGAATTCCTCCACAGCGACATGAGAGACTGATCAACAACTACAGGAAGAATTTGGTTGGAGTCATTTCAGCTAAAGGTGGCACAATCAGTTATTGAGTGTAAGGGGGCAATTACTTTTTCACACAGGGGCATTGGGTGTTGCATAACTTTGTTTATGAAATAAATGAAAAAAAGTATGTAATTGTTGTGTTATTTGTTCACTCGGGTTCCCTTTATCTAATATTAGGTTTTGGTTGAAGATCTGATAACATTCAGTATCAAAAAATGCAAAAGTAGAGAAAATTGGAAAGGGGGCAAATACTTTTTCACAGCATGTGTATATATATATTAACCTTAATCTATCTTCAATCTCCATCCCTTCAGGAGATGAACGAGGACCACCACACCCCTAAGAAGGAGAAGCAGGAGCGCCTGTCGAAGCACAAGGAGAACTTGCAGCACAGCCAGGCTGAGGAGGAGGCCCATCTCCTGGGCCAACAGAGAGTATTTTACGACAGGAACTGCAGAGGCTTCAAACGCAAAGTCATGATCAAGAGGCACGAGTTTGAACAGGAGCAGATACGAGAGGTATATTATATAGATGTACAGATTTCAAACGAGAGGCAAGGAGGAGTGGATGACACTTGTGGAGAATCAGTGGGATGTTTGTTGTTTGGATGTACACACATTTTAGTTCAAGTTCAGTCTGTAGTGGTGTGCAGTGAACACTGCAATCCAATAGGGATATGAAAATCACATGTCCAACTCCAACTGATTATCTATAACATTAACATGGTCAATGTTGTCCTTGAATGGCACCTGTAACATGAAAAACAAGAGTTCTTCGACCAATATCCGTATTCCATTTGTTTTGTGGAAAGCACTGAGAAGTGGTGCAGATTATGAAGTATAAACAGGGCAACAATGCAGTAATCTCCTAATCTACTCTGTAAATCAGGAGGGGGGAGTAGGAAAGTATTAGGAGATCTGAGACCTTACATGACCATCCACCTGAAACCTAGGGGCACATTGGATGATACCCTAATGCTAGCCTGGTCCAAGACCTGCTTGTACTGTCTTGTCCACTCAGCCCAAACAGTCCTGGGATCAGGCTACCAAAACCCAACCAGCCCTAAAGCTGCTCCTCTCATAGACTTGAAGGATAGAAATAAGGGAGATGTTTAGGAGTATTTGGATATAGTGTCTGTGTGTTATTGCCTATAGTATGGTGGCACTGTTGTGCTTGAGATGTTATTTACCTAGTGACATTGTTGTCGCATAGTAGGACAATAGGAACCTTGAAAAAGTCGAAAACAAATGCACAAAGAATTTAAGTGTAGTCTAGTGTCTGCAATGACCAATGTCCACCATGTGACACTGATGCTCCAGACCAAATGTCCTTTCCCATACAAAAGCAAAGTTTGTGTCATGGATGGCCATGATAATTCCTATCTCTTCCTCCCTCTCCTTCTCCCCTTCCCCCTCTCTCTCCATTTCTCCCTCTCTCCCTCCCTCTCTCTCCATATCTCTCTCTCTTCCCTCCTCTCTCCATATCTCTCTCTCCCTCCCCCCCTCTCTCTCTCTCTCTCACTCTGATCAGGAGCTGAACAAGAAGAAGACCCAGAAGGAGATGGAACATGCCATGCTGATCAGACATGACGAGTCGACCCAGGAGCTGGAGCATCGTCAGCTGAAGACCCTTCAGAAGCTCCGCATGGACCTGATCCGCCTGCAGCACCAGACAGAACTGGAGAACCAGATAGAGTACAACAACCGCCGCGAGAGAGAGCTCCACCGCAAACACGTTCTGGAGCTACGGCAGCAACCCAAGAACCTCAAGGTGCGGATCAGCCCTGGGAATGTGATTGCTACATTGGTAGCTACATTAGGTGTTCTCCAGGAAAAGGCTCTGATCTAACCAGGTAGCAGATTAGACATGGGGAAACAGCAGACCATTAACCTCAAGGTGAGGGTTAGGGGGGTGCACCTAGTGCACGCATTCCTGGAAAAAGGGAAATCCTCATTGTTGGCTACAAAAGTCTTCAACGTAACAAGCCATTGCATTCATCAGAAGTTGAAACATATTTGGACAGGCAAAGAACAGATAGTAGAAACTGAATGTAATGGGGTCAACAGGATCCCTAAACTCCAACTCTGTGTGTGCTTGTGTTTAACACTCCTTGTTCACCTAACTAACACACGTTCCAATCTCCATCTCCACCAGGCCATGGAGCTGCAGATTAAGAAGCAGTTCCAGGACACGTGTAAGGTCCAGACCAAGCAGTACAAGGCCCTGAGACACCGCCAGATGGAGGTGACGCCCAAGAGCGAGCACAAGACGGTGCTCAAGGCCCTGAAGGAGGAGCAGACCAGGAAACTGGCCATCCTGGCCGAGCAGTACGAACAGAGCATCAATGAGATGATGGCATCGCAGGCGGTGAGTCGGCACAAAATGGAGAATGGGTGTTTTGATGCCCGATAGTTGGGATTACTAACTACATTTTGTTTTCAACTAAGAAGTTGACATTTGATAATTTCCTTAATGACAATCTCAAAGAACTAATTCATATCAATGTCAAAGATCTTATTAACTAATATCTGACATTAAAAATAGTTCCATAGGGGAATTAAATAATCTTAGGCCCCAAGGCATAGGAGATTTAAGTCATTGTAGGAGTTTGTAACCCTCTTTGCTTCTCTTATTCCCATCACTTGTCCGGTCTCATCTATTTCCTTTTCTCCTCGCTTCTTCCTCTCTCTTTTCTCTCCTCTTCACTGCCCCTCTCTCTTCATCTCTTTCCCCACTCTTCGCCTCTTCTATTCCCTCTCCCTCCCTCCCACCCCCACCCCTCCCCCCGTGTTTCCTTTTTTTTCTCTCTCTCTCTCTCTCTCTCTTTACTCCCCCTTTTTCTGTTGGGGTCTTCTCTTTATTTCTCCCCCTGTCAGCTGCGTCTGGACGAGGCCCAGGAAGCCGAGTGCCAGGCTCTGAGGCAGCAGCTGCAGCAGGAGATGGAGCTGCTGAATGCCTACCAGAGTAAGATCAAGATGCAGACCGAGGCCCAGCACGACAGAGAGCAGCAGAAGCTGGAGCAGAAGGTGTCGCTGCGCAGAGCCCACCTCGAACAAAAGGTAGAGGTGTCAAGGAGGGGGGAGTGACTGACTGATACGGACAGACAGACGGACACACACATACACACCTAGAACAAAAGGTAAAGAGGTCGGGAGGAGCAAAAACAGACACAGATACATTTTAGTCATTTAGCAGACGCTCTTATCCAGAGCGACTTACAGTTAGTGAGTGCATACATTTTCATACTGGCCCCCCGTGGGAAACGAACTCACAACCCTGGCGTTGCAAGCGCCATGCTCTACCAACTGAGCTACAGGGGACTACACCCAGACAGATGCACAGAACGCAGACAGACACAGATATACACACTCATGCAGGCAGAGCCCTTGTGGAGCACAACGTGCTGGAAGCAGAATCAACACGCACCCACAGAGACAGACAGACTTCACTTTTATTTGACACAGATTTCACTCACTACTACTTTGTAACTGAGGCCCAAATCATTTGTCATGCTCTCAGCTTTTGTTGCAAACTCCCAACATGTTAGTGTTGTATTATTCTTACAACATGTTCTACATTTTAATCCTAACCAGTGTGTTAAAAAATTTGATTATGTAATATGGTCATCCATAACAATAAGACATGACTTACTATTGTATTAATTGAGTCATTGAGTCATGCACTCCTTTCTGTGTTCTACAATCTGGAGTCACAACACCTTCACTTTCACCTCTTCTCCCCACTCAATACTTCTGTACCCCGCTGTTGACCATTTACATCTGAACAGTGGATGGTGATGGCCTGGTATTGCATAAATTCAAATCACTATAGGCCACTTTATCAGTCAGAATAGATTTTTTTCAATTCTTGAATACTATGTTTTTCCAAGGCAATGATGTCATCGCTATATAGTTCCTTGACAACAAAGGAACATGCCGCCCTGATCCAGTTTCTGTTGCCCAGGCAGTAGCCTACAGTAGTATCATTACAGTATTATGCAACCAGTGGTAGTGTGGCGCCATCTGGTGTCTATCTGTTGCCCTGCAGGCTGTCTGGATCAGGTGATGTCATTGTTAACCCTGTATCAGGGTTGTATTAATCAGAACACACAACTGGAGATGTTTTAAAGCGTTCTGCAACTGAAAACAAAAATGAGCATTTCTTATTGGACCAGTTCAGGTAGTCCCTCCCTGTTTCAGTTTGTCTTCCATTTGGTTCCTAATGAACACACCCCAGACTCATATGCTTCCAGAGAAGTGCTGACTGCAGATTTTGTTCCACTGTCTGGACAGCTTGACTCAGGGGCCAGATGTAATCTGTATCTAAAGGCATTATGGAATTGAATCAATCTATACCAAACGCTGAAAATGAAATATGAACAGCTAATATTTATTGATTAAAGATGCAGACAACGGCTGTAATGGATTGATTGACAGTAAATTGTGTTTGGCCCTACTCATGGCTAGTGCAGGTGTATTTCTGTCTGTAGTTAGTTGGTGGAGTGGTTACAAATTCATGCTGAATTTCAAATCAACGCTTACTCTCCTAGCTTAAGCAAAAACCTAAAAAAGCCTGCACACACACTACATTGGCCCTTGCAGGTCAAACTCTGCAATACTCATACCTTACTTCAGTATATTGTGGTTCCAAATGCTCTTGCTTCCACTAGTTTAATTAACTAAGTTGTGGTTTTGTAGATTGAAGAGGAGCTGGCTTCCCTTCAGAAGGAGCGTACAGAGAGGATCAAGCACCTGCTGGATCGCCAGGAGAGAGAGATCGACACGTTCGACATGGAGAGCCTCCGACTGGGCTTCGGTAATCTGGGGGCCCTGGACCCCCCCAAGGACGACTACAGATGACTAGGCCAGCCCTGGTGACCTCAGTCTTCATCGTCTGGTCTGACGACCCTCCTGTTCCTCCTCAGACCCTTGACCTGATTTGACCTGATCTGGTTTTGGTTGGACCGGGCAGTTAGGGTCTTTAGCTACTGATGTACACACACACACACACACACACACACACACACACACACATATATACACACACACACATAAATGTGAGTGTACACACACACCAGCCACACACAAACCAGCCGAACGCCTGTGCTGGTCTAAAACCAACGGGCCCCCCTCTCTCGTGGTGTCCGTCACAAGATGACAAAAAGTGCTGGATAACTTCCTAGGTTGTCTTTGTTTTAAAGAATAACAATACAATGTCACAGTGTTCCTGTTTCTTGTGTAATGATGACGGAAACCAGAGGGAGAGAATAAGAGACAATAGAAGTGAATAATATTGTGTTGCTCAATGATCATGCATTAGAGGTTAATCATTTGTTCAAGCTGTGCAAAAACCTAAAGCCGAAAACCTAAAAACAAACTGGTCCTCCTTCTGCAGCCTTATTGTCTTCTTGGCGCTGCTTCCAGTTCATTCAACTCTTTTTGCTTTTTATATTCTTCAGGAAATTTTTATGGAAAATTTAAAGCAATTTGATACGTTGAGAACATGTTTAAAGTCATAGTCTACATAATGGTACAGTAAATAAATGTGACTCCTTCTTTGGAGAGAATTTGATTATTGACTTGACATGAGACACTGAGGAGGGAGACTTGCAATGCACCCTGGTACTCCACTGTATCATACTGATTCTCTGCACTGGCAGGTAATGTGAATACCACATGGTTGAGTCAATGACACACTATTCCCTATGTAGTGCAGTAGTTTTGGGGCTCTGGTTAGTGCACTATATAGTATATAAAATAGTGCACTATGTAGGGAATAGGGTGTCATTCCAGACACAGACCCATGTGAATCCCTACTCCAAGGTAGCACAAAGGGCTTTGTCGGGGCTTGGGGAGGGACATGTATTTTGTGTATAGAAGGATTTTTTGGAGAGCTTTTACTTATTTTCGTATTGTACTATTTTAACTGTTACTCAAATCGATTTCAAAATTATAATAATTAGATTTTTCTCCTTCCTCTTCGTTCAGTATTTGAAAGGCAAATCAATCGGGCAATTGGTTTCTTGCTCTGAAATGTCCATCTGAAATGAATCATTCTTTTTGCTTTAACCCTCCACATGCTGTGTATTTTCTTATAAACCAGATCAGTAAAATAAATGCTTTATTATTGCATGCACTTTAATTTTGTTTTCCAGGATTAAGAGAGCATGAGTCTGTCATCCAAGCTTTTAATTATATTTGTAAATAAAGTGCTCATCACACAAAGTTTTGACTTTATTGGATGCATATTTTATTAATTTCCTTATCTGCACATGGTAAAGAGACTCATCACACTGCAATCTATGCTCCCATGTGGCTTATTACTATGGCTATTCAATAGATAACAATTTATTAGATCAGACTTGGTTACAGTAAAGTATATGTTTAATACATAAACAGCACCTCAAGGCTCAAAGTGCATGGCAGTAAATGTGTATTTTTTACACATATTGTGTCAGCTGACATTGATTGTTCTCTACAGATACAGGTCAGCTTGGTCACATTCAAGGTCCACTACTGAATGCATTTTCCATTTTTGGAATTCTGCCATGGTTTGTGCAGGCTCAGGATTTGTTTTCAGGGGCACTTCGGCACATTCTCATATGAATTATCTCCAGCACCATTGCCAGTGTCTACAAACAGGAAAACTGATGTTATGGGGAGTAACTAATTCAAACTGTAAACACACTAGTAAATGAGAATGCTTACAAAGAATAGAACCCAACACTAGATTATGAGTTGTTTTATTGTGACTGATCATGGGGATAGTGAGAGATTAATTTTCAATGGGGTAACATGACAAGATATACACTACCGTTCAAAAGTTTGGGGTCACTTAGAAATGTCCTTGTTTTCGAAAGAAAATAAAAAAAATTGTCCATTAAAATAACGTCAAATTGATCAGAAATACAGTGTAGACATTGTTAATGTTGTAAATGGCTATTGTAGCTGGAAACGGCTGATTTTTAATGGAATATCTACATAGGCGTACAGAGACCCATTATCAGCAACCATCAGTCCTGTGTTCCAATGGCATGTTGTGTTTGTTAATCCAAGTTTATCATTTTAAAAGGCTAATTGATCATTAGAAAACCCTTTTGCAATTATGTTAGCACAGCTGAAAACTGTTGTGCTGATTAAAGAAGCAATAAAACAGGACTTCTTGAGACTAGTTGAGTATCTGGAACATCAGCAATTGTGGGTTTGATTACAGGCTCAAAATGGCCTGAAACAAATAACTTTCTTCTGAAACTTGTCAGTCTATTCTTGTTCTGAGAAATTAAGGCTATTCCATGCGAGAAATTGCCAAGAAACTGAAGATCTCGTACAACGATGTCTACTACTCCCTTCACAGAACAGCGCAAACTGGCTCTAACCAGAATAGAGAGAGAAGTGGGAGGCCCCGGTGCACAACTGAGCAAGAGGACAAATACATTAGAGTGTCTAGTTTGAGAAACTAAATGACCCCAAACTTTTGAACGGTAGTGTAGGTCATTGCTCACTGTACACAATTGTAAAGTGAGTGGCACAAACAAAAAAGGCTTCATTGTTGTTGGGGTTTCTGTAGTTTAGCTACATAATGTGAATCCCACGATACTCACAAGTCAATTTCTATTGCAGCCAATTTCAGGATACTCATGTTTCTCACAAGTCTGTTTATTTTCCAGACAGTTATTCATAGAGTTAGGGACATAGTCATCCCATTCTGCCTGATAACAGGTCCCAGCTACGGGAGTTCCTAGTCCGTATGTCTGTCGAAAGACTTGGATCTTGATCTTTCCGCGGTTATCTCCAGAGAGGTTGTTGAGGACAGGCTCGGTGCAGGAGAGGAAGCCTGACTGCTCATAGACCAGCCACACATACCTGTGTAGACATGGAGGACAGATAGACAGAGATGTGACATGGTCAATGATGGATAGAGAGGGTGTTGGTATACTCCAAAAGGATGATGGAAGGAGTAAATTACCATGTAAAGCAGTTATTGTCCTGCAAGAGGAAATGCAAGGACTGATTCCGGAGAGCAGCACACAGAATTGCTTTGAACAAAAACAACGCAAGGTGGCAGACAGAGGCCGGATTTCTTCTTCAGTGGGGTTTATGTGTGGTGGCATCCAATGTTACCGCCACCTACTGTGTTGGAGTGTGGGCCAGTGACAGCGCTAGCAGCCTCCATGGCAGTAGGCGCGGTATGTAGCAAGTGACACGTAGTGGGCGCGGCATGTAGTTTTTATCGGAGTACACTATATATACAAATGTATGTGGACACCCCTTAAAATTAGTGGATTCAGCTATTTCAGCCACACCCGTTGCTGACGGGTGTATAAAATCGAGCACACAGCCATGCAATCTCCATAGACAAACATAGGCAGTAGAATGGCCTTACTGAATAGCTCAGTGACTTTCAACGTGGCACCGTCACCTTTCCAACAAGTCAGTTCATCACATTTCTGCGCCGCTAGAGCTGCTCCGGTCAACTGTAAGTGCTGTTATTGTGAAGTGGAAACATTTATGAGCAACAACGGCTCAGCCGCGAAGTGGTAGGCCTCACAAGCTCACAGAATGGGACCGCTGAAGCGCGTAAAAATCGTCTGTCCTCTGTTGCAACACTCACTACCACGTTCCAAACTGCCTCTGGAAGCAACGTCAGCACAATAACTGTTTGTCGGGAGCTTCATGAAATTAGTTTCCATGGCAGAGCAGCCGCATACAAGCCTAAGATCACCATCCGCAATGCCAAGCGTCGGCTGGAGTGGTGTAAAGCTTGGCGCCATTGGACTCTGGAGCAGTGGAAACGCATTCTCTGGAGTGATGAATCATGCATATGGCAGTCCGATTGACAAATCTGGGTTTGGTGGATGCCAGGAGACCGCTACCTGCCCAAATACATAGTGCCAACTGCAAAGCAGTAGCGGTGCGTAGGTAAAATCACTGGGGAAGCCAAGCCCCCCACCCCCCAAAAAAGCCATATTACAACCTGCGTTGTGATTATTGAGTTGTTTGCTCTATAAATCCTGTTAATTCATATGCCTTGTGACTGTGATATATAGGCCTAAAGGCAGAGACAATAAGAAGACACAGCGGCAGAATAAATTCTACCACACCTTTGTTTTATCACAAAACCGGATAGCAACCTCTGTCCAGTGAAGTCCACAAAGCATATTGCATGTACAGTAACAGACAGTTACATGACCTTAGCATGTAAATCTTGGTGGGGCAAAAACATTTTTTTATTGTTTTATGCATGCCAGCAAAGCCACTACACAACGCAACACTAAACACTAGTCTCCTGAGTGGCGCAGTGGTCTAAGGCACTGCATCGCAGCGCTAACTGTGCCACTAGAGATCCTGGTTCGAATCCAGGCTCTGTCGTAGCCGGCTGCGACCGGGAGACTCATGGGCGGCGCACAATTGGCCCAGCGTCGTCCAGGGTAGGGGAGGGAATGGCCGGCAGGGATGTAGCTCAGTTGATAGAGCATGGCGTTTGCAACGCCAGGGTTGTGGGTTTGATTCCCACGGGGGGCCAGTATAAAAAAATATGTGTATGCGGCTTTATTAAGTCAATGTTTTTTTATTGTTTGCTAACTGATATATGACAAGTATTAATGCCAAAATAACATGCAAAACAGGCAACAACAAAAAAACATATACAGTGCATTCGGAAGGTATTCAGACCCTTTGACTTATTCCACATTTTGTTACGTTAGACTTTTTCTAAAATTGATTAAATTGTTTTTTCCCTCATCAATCTACACACAATACCCCAAACTGAAATATCACATTTACATAAGTATTCAGACCCTTTACTCAGTACTTTGTTGAAGCACCTTTGGCAGCGATGACAGACTTGAGTCTTCTTGGGTATAACGCTACAAGCTTGGCACACCTGTATTTGGGGAGTTTCTCCCATTCTTCTCTGCAGATCCTCTCAAGCTCTGTCAGGTTGGATGGGGAGCGTTGCTGCACAGCTATTTTCAGGTCTCTCCAGAGATGTTTGATCGGGTTCAAGTCCGGGCTCTGGCTGGGCCACTCAAGGACATTCAGAGACTTGTCCTGAAGCCACTCCTGCGTTGTCTTTGCTGTGTGCTTAGGGTCGTTGTCCTGTTGGAAGGTGAACCTTCACGCAAAAACCAAAAAAGTGTTAAACAAATCAATATATATTTTATATTTGAAATTCTTCAAATAGCCACCCTTTTCCTTGATGACAGCTTTGCACACTCTTGGCATTCTCTCAACCAGCTTCACCTGGAATGCTTTTCCAACAGTCTTAAAGGGTTGTGGGTTTGATTCCCACGGGGGGCCAGTATAAAAAAATTTATTCACTAACTGTAAGTCGCTCTGGATAAGAGCGTCTGCTAAATGACGTAAATGTAAACAATACATTAATTGAACTATAACGGTGACAAACGTACCCACAAACTGTTAGGGCCTACATAAAGCTGTCCCAACAGCAGAGCTTTCTTTTCAGCACCATGGAGTGAATCCTTACACCCACTACACCTGGCTATCAGCGGAGCCTTGTCTGGCAGCGAAACAGTTCATTCAGCCTCATTTACTGCTTTTTTTTTATTAAAACATAGCTGATATGGCTGACTTGCTTAAACAAATGTGGTTTCTACTGACAATTGAGATGTACAAACTATGGCATAAGGGAACGACGAGCGGATAAGAGGCAATCTGTAATTTAGATGAAGACATTAATGAGTGAGCTAGGATGGACCTAGTCAATTTAACTATTTGTTCAGCACTTTTGAAATGTACAGCCACAGAATTCAAAACATGGGCCGTTCTTACAGTATTCTCCCTGCACACCAAGTCAGAACCGTAGGATAAATAAAGGGGGCATATAAGCAGACAATGAAAGATCTTACAATATTCAATGATTACATTTATCTAAAACAGGCTATAGGCTACATGTGCACCACCAAGTCAGAACAGTAGACTAAGTTATGAGGGGAAAGGGACCGAATTATTAGGGTGAGGCACATGGGCTACTAACAGCTTACTACACAACATACACTTAGTATTACTTTCTTAGCTACAGTATACATATCTCCCTGGCATATTACATAATTTATGCAGCAACATATAATACATTTTTGGACTCACCTTGTTGTGCTGTGCTCACTTGAACAGGTAGGTGGCGCGGTGGTCCTTCTTGTGGACAAATTTTGTCATCAAAGTCTGGCATTCTCTGGATTTATGGTGCTTTCAAGACAACTGGGAACACTGAAAAAAACAAGGTCGAATCATGACGTCAGTGGTCTTCAGGTCGGAGCTCTAGAAAGAGGCCTGAGTTCCCAACTTGGAATTCCGAGTTGGATGACCATTCAAAACGTATTTTCCCAGTCGGAGCTAGTTTTTTCCCGAGTTCCCAGTTGTCTTGAACTCACTGAAGTCTGAGATTTCCCAGTCCCGAGTGTCCAGTTGTTTTGAACGGCAGAAGTCATGCTGGATTGACAGCATGGCCAATGTATTCAACCTTTTCTGGCCCATGGTGTCTTGCGAGTGAATGTTTATCATTTTAAGCTTGGAAACAAGACCCTTAAACCCAGAATTGGACCACACACCCTCTCAACTGAATAGCATGCTAGTGATTGCTTTGCAGAGCTTGCAGTTAGCCACTAATTCCTTCCAAACCACTCATTGTTGAATTTGCGATTTCCAACTTGTTGTTTATGTCCAATGGCCGATGAGCACTGATACGTTTTATCTATAATTTATCTTCATATGACAAGGATTGAAAAGGATTTGCCAGTAGATTGTCGATTTGATTCATGATGATGACTGCTTTCTAGCTTGCTAGCTAAGATTTTGAAAGTATGATGTTGACATGATCAGTCCAATCAAAGCTACAGTACATATAACGTGATTTGACGTCATTTTATCTGTGGCCAATGACCTTGAGCCTTCTTGGATGGGCACTTCTAATGTAAATCTATGGCAGCACCCAAGGGGCTTGAATCTGCGAGCTCTGGATTTTGCGGGGACGTAGTGTCGCTATGAGTGACAGAACACTGAGTCAATCATGGTGCAAATAGAGAACATTTTCAACCCCTACGCTCCGTATTTTCCGCTGGCTGCCCCACCACCACAGAATCACCTGCATTTTGGAGCTGCCTTACTCAAGACCGAAAAAAATATGTGTATGCGGCTTTATTAAGTCAATGTTTTTTTATTGTTTGCTAACTGATATATGACAAGTATTAATGCCAAAATAACAAAATGGGGGTCTGAATACTTTCTGAATGCACTGCTCCACCTGCCTTGAATGACGGGTCACCACTGCATGACCTACAGCATGGTCAAGCAAGTTAATGTTTCTGACATTTTTGGACCACTAAACAACTATTGATTTAGAACCACAGTTACCGCAAAACAGGAGCTGCCTCCACTATTCCAGCACCATTTCAGCATCATGAAATCGTCTCTGCTTAGACTAATAACTAAAAGATACCAAAAACGATTTAGTCCAATTTACTGTGAGTGTGTGCACGTTCGTGCAATGGTCTATCACTCTGTCATACAGAACACATTTTTATTTTTTTATTATTATTATTTAGACTACCTGGCTAAAATGCTTGCTCGGTAGCCTAACTTCCATTAATGGGCAACATTAGCTAGTTAACATTAGCCTTCTACATCTAGCTACAACATATTGAACTTCCCTCCTCTCAGGCCAGGGGCACAACAATGTATGAATAATGGTTGGATCAGAATCGCTGTTATAATCATTGGCCAGTATGGAGAATTAAGTAAAACCACAGGTCCAAATCCCTATCTCCGTCCATGGCTAATTTCAGGAAAGGGCCAATTTTAGCTAGCTGGCTAGCTAGCCACATGAGGACAACAACACAACGAGATGCAACAATTCAAGTTTTTCTGTCAATGATGTATGTGCTCAATGGGATTTGATAGGAGTGACGCCAAATCCAAGTTGGCTTCCCTTTACACTTTTTTTGGTGCGCCAAGACCATTCACAGTTGAGCTTGCTCAGTTCAGCTCAACGCTGATTGGCTAATTTTTTTTACTTTTTTTGTTAAGGGAGGCCAGATTCCTGGCTGGCTTCCCTTGCCTTCAGTGCTATGGGCGCCAACAATTTCAAACTCATTTGGACCAGACAGAATCAGATAGATGGCCTACACATAGAGAGGGGCGCTGTTTCGCTCGCTCAGATGCTTTCTCCTGTGAGATACATTCAGTCTCTTTAATGAATTATGAAACACAGAGATGAAAGATACATTATTTTATGTTTTTAAAACTTTTGATTTGTCCATTTTTGGGGGAAGCCTGGCTTCCCTTGGCATCTATGAATACATGCCACTGCTGTAAAGTTTGGTGGAGGAGGAATAATGGTCTATGCCTGTTTTTCATGGTTCGCGCTAGGCCCCTTAGTTCCAGTGAAGGGGAATCTTAACACTACAGCATATTCTAGATGATTCTGTGCTTCCAACTTTGTGGCAACAGTTTGGGGAAGGCCCTTTCATGTTTCAGCATGACAATGCCCCCGTGCACAAAGCAAGGTCCATACAGAAATGGTTTGTTGAGATCGGTGTGGAAGAACTTGACTGGCCTGCACAGAGCCCTGACCTCAACCCCATCGAACACCTTTGGGATGAATTGGAACGCCGGCTGTGAGCCAGGCCTAATCGCCCAACATCAGTGCCCGACCTCACTAATGCTCTTGTGGCTGAATGGAAGCAAGTCCCTGCAGCAATGTTCCAACATCTAGTGGAAAGCCTTCCCAGAAGAGTGGAGGCTGTTATAGCAGCAAAGGGGGAACCAAATCCATATTAATGGCCATGATTTTGAAATGAGATGTTCGACGAGCTGGTGTCCACATACTTTCGGTCATGTAGTGTAACTGTTAGTTGTTGTTTTTTTAACAAAATGTAACGTTAGACGTTAATGCCCTAGTTGTAGATTTTTGGTGAAAATCACTACAATACATGTGCTTTAGCTGTCAACCTGGCCTGATATTGGCTACACTAGCTACTTCCCTACTGTGGTCAGATGTCACCCTGGCCGAATACTGGCTATACTAGCTACTTCCCTACTGCGGGCAAGCGAACAAGGTGCCCAGTGTTGTCGGCTTGCAGCGCGTACTGTCCCCATTGAGGAGTGTAGACTCTATCATGGTGAAATCCAGATGGTTAGGCCTACTACCAACAAGTTATTTCTCGTGTAGGCTGCTACCCTACTCGAAATAAATCAAGTGGGATGGAACAAATTGGAGATAGTGATCAAATCCAGATGGTGACCAATACTTATTGTTATTTCTCCATCGCCCATCGACATAATCACTTTACAAATTTTAATAAGTGTTATGCTGTTGCAAAACAAACCAGTCATTGTGTAGAGATTCATTTTACCATCTAAACTGGTGTGACATATATTTTCCATAACCCCACATTTTGAAGCTGGTGTTAAAAACCGAAAGTAAAACACGCAAAAACGAAACATAAGAACGGAAAGCATAAAAATAGCGCGCATAGAACACAGAATTGTTAGACTTGCTGTCAATGAGAATGAAACATCTATAATTCATATTTCTATGTGAATTTGGTCCGGTCGCACAAAAAGTTACATATTGTAGCTTGCAAGGGCTTATAAGGACGATCGACGGAACCGATTTGTCTCCACACTCGACTCTCAGCTACGCGACATGCGTCATCCATTTGGGCACTAGGCGTGTCCATAATACCTCTCCCTGAGTAAACAGCCAGGTAGCCAAATAGGTGAAAATATATAGCATGTGGCAGTTCCATGGAAAATAGATGTGTTGAATTATAGCCTATGGATCTATTATCTACTCTAACCAGTCTTATGTAAACAACGTGTAGAGTTGTGTTTTGTCATAGCACGTACAACAGGTAGGCAGGTAAACGGCTGACATTGGCAACCAAGCTTTTGTTTAACTTGCAATCAGGCTATACAGCAGTAATAATCATGAAGGCATTCACAGTTGCAATTTTTCTTCTTTTGTTCATGCATCAGACAGGTGAGTGTCCACTTGTGACGTGTTTATGAATAGCCTATGTAACGTAAAAGGTGGATTTGAAACATAATCCATTGTTTTTAGCCTAATAAGTGATACAGTGAAATTAGTTTATATTAGGTCAATGTTTTGATCTATGTGGTGCTCACTTTTACTATTTGTTAATCGTGTCTCATCTCTTGCTTATTGTTTTTATGAAAGTTGCAGCAAATGGGCGCTCAGATCAAACTACTGTTATCAAAACACTGGGAGCGAATATTCTACTTCCGTGTTGGAACACTGCGATTAATGTGACTCCCTCCTTCACGGGATGGATGAAGAATGGACAGTTTATCATTGGCCGAAATCATTCCATAATTCTAACACCTTCAAGTGAAGGGCACCTGACGATACAGAACAATCAAAGCTTGTACATCAATGGACTAGCTTTATCAGATGAGGGGACCTATCTTTGTGATTCCTTACCCCATGACAACAAAACTCAAACAAGTCTGACATTGCGAATAGTCAGTAAGTGTATGTTTTCTAATGTAACAATGTGTGTGTTGATATAATTCTTGTATAATGAATTGTATATAAACTACATTGCCAAAAGTATGTGGACACCCCTTCAATTTAGTGGATTCGGCTATTTCAGCCTCACCCGTTGCTGACAGGTCTATACAATCGAGTATCTTGGTCAATTGCCCTGGCTCCAAATTTCTTGAAACTGGTTCTTCCAGAATATTTGCTGCAGTGGTTAGTTTCGTGGATAACAGATACTGTAGTAGTATGTCCATGTCTCCTGTAGGCATTTGAATGTGTATCATAAAAGGGTATTTGCAGGTGATCTTAAATACTGTACCTTGAAGAGCATTGAACGGTCTGATTTTAACCAATAAGGACTAGGAAGGATCTCTAAAGAGAATGCCATGTGTGTATGTTGTGGTATCAGTCCACATTGTTCAATAATGAAACATTGTAACAATGCTTGATTGTTGTATTCTGGGAAGACTATTCAAGTGCAAAGTGTATGCCTACTTTGTAGACACTATTACTAAACTACCTCATGTTTACCTCTTACAGGTGGTCCTGAAAATGGCATCACAGACATCCACCCAGCCACAACCCTTTCCAATGGAACCCTTGTCGTCCACAGGGGTTCCACTGTGTTGTTCAACTGCTCCAGCTGGTCTTATCCCTCCCAGAGTCTGTCCTGGGGGTTTCAGGGTGTGGCGTCCAGCAACGACTCCCTGACAGCGGGCAGTGGGTCCTGGCTGGACTTCAGGATAGAGGACATCCAACCCACAGCTCAGGGGAACTATAGCTGTAGAGCCCAGAACTCAGTTTCCCAGAAGGCAGTTGACTGGAGCAGAGAGCTGCTTGTATACTGTAGGTGACTATAAGGGTAATCGACTCACTAGTCTCTGATACTGGGATCTGTCTTCTGTGATTGCCTGGGCTTAGTGATCATTTAAGAAAAAATTAATCTCTGAATGTCAATACTGTTTTGTTTGTCTGCAGTTGCCACTGGCTAAATACCTGGTACCTAATGGTGCCCAGTGGTGCTTGTTTAGATTAACCAAAATAATGAATCTTATTATCATATTATCTTAACAATCAAAATGGTACCTGGTTTGTTATTACTGTGTAATTACCCAAATACCAAATCAATTCTATAAATACCGTAACATTAAGTGCTTCCATTTCTCCTCTAGATTCCCCAGAGAAGCAACCGGAGTGTCAGTGGAAGGTATGGAAGAACCTGTCCCATGTCCAGTTTAACTGCAGCTGGTTTGGAGGCTACCCCTCTCCCACGTTACTCTGGGGGGAGAAACATCAAGAGCCAGCGAGACAGGGGAACCAGGTGTTTTTTTGTGTGTTTTTGGGGGACAATTTAAAAACACAATTAAATGGGGTACAATGCATTTAAAATCATTGAGGATAACACACAAGTGTAACAACTTATTTCCATTGTGGTCATCTTAGGTGGCAGGACAGCTGATGGAATCGGAGGTGACAGACAGTCTGGTGGTGAATCTGAACAGGTCGTTGTTGTTTGACGGGCAGACGCTGAAGTGTGATGGGCATCACCCTATGATCAGTGCAGAAGACGAGAAGTTCTGCTCCTTCACCCTCAGTAAGCAATATAAGAGACACCCTGCAAACGAGTCAACATAGCTTCTATGCTCTCTGTTTACTTTTCAGCTTGATGGTTTCTGTATTGCAAATACTGTACAAAGACGCCCTGAAACTTATCAATAACAGTTCACTTCAGTTCAGGTCAACTCTTTGTTTATTTCAGCTTTAAACCAACTGTGGTTTCTGCAAACTGTACAAAGCTCAGAATGTTAGCCAGGTGTGAACCCATTCAGTGGCACACAGCAAGGGAGCTGTCTTTGTAATTCCAGAAAGCCGTGCCAAACAATGAAAAAGCACCAAAGAACGTGTACACCTCTTACTCAGCCACACCTCTCCATAGTGTGTGTGTGTATGTGTGTGTGTGTGTGTGTGTGCACGTGTATCCTTATATCTAATATAAATGTGTAATTATATCCCTGACCCAGTCTAACACCCTGTTTCTTCTCATCTCCCAGAGTCTCCCTATCCTGAAGGGGAACCACTGGTCACAGCTCTCGAAGGCACCAACATCACATTAACCTGTACAGAGTCCAGCTCCCGGCCTCCAGCCCTCACCACCTGGCAGAGGACAGCCCAGCAGGAGGACGTGGTACCCAGCCCCAAGTATGTCCTGTCAGAGCAGGGCCCCACCTTCACCCTCACCATAGTCAACGTCGCCAAGCAGGACGAGGGCTTCTACTTCTGCAGGAGCGAGAACCCACTGATGGTCCGCGAGCTGGAGATCTATTTAACAGTTACGAGTGAGTTGAGAAAGAGAGAGAGAGTGTGTCGGTGCGTGTTTGTGCACGTGCCTATATTTCCTTACTGTAGGAAAAAATGTGGGACATATGGGAAACTGTATAGAAAACGTGTCTACAGATTGCATATGGCCCTAGTGATAATTGATGTTTATAATCATAAAGGCCAGGTGTGGGGGATCTTTATCAGAACTAAACCATTTGTGAACATGCTTAGTGCACATGTAATACATGTACAGTGAGGGAAAAAAAGTATTTGATCCCCTGCTGATTTTGTACGTTTGCCCACTGACAAAGACATGATCAGTCTATCATTTTAATGGTAGGTTTATTTGAACAGTGAGAGACAGAATAACAACAAAAAAATCCAGAAAAACACATGTAAAAAATGTTATAAATTGATTTGCATTTTAATGAGGGAAATAAGTATTTGACCCCCTCTCAATCAGAAAGATTTCTGGCTCCCAGGTGTCTTTTATACAGGTAACGAGCTGAGATTAGGAGCACACTCTTAAAGGGAGTGCTCCTAATCTCAGTTTGTTACCTGTATAAAAGACACCTGTCCACAGAAGCAATCAATCAATCACATTCCAAACTCTCCACCATGGCCAAGACCAAAGAGCTCTCCAAGGATGTCAGGGACCTGATTGTAGACCTACACAAGGCTGGAATGGGCTACAAGACCATCGCCAATCAGCTTGGTGAGAAGGTGACAACAGTTGGTGCGATTATTCGCAAATAGAAGAAACACAAAAGAACTGTCAATCTCCCTCGGCCTGGGGCTCCATTCAAGATCTCACCTCGTGGAGTTGCAATGATCATGAGAACGGTGAGGAATCAGCTCAGAACTACACGGGAGGATCTTGTCAATGATCTCAAGGCAGCTGGGACCATTGTCACCAAGAAAACAATTGATAACACACTACGCCGTAAAGGACTGAAATCCTGCAGCGCCCGCAAGGTCCCCCTGCTCAAGAAAGCACATATACATGCCCGTCTGAAGTTTGCCAATGAACATCTGAATAATTCAGAGGAGAACTGGGTGAAAGTGTTGTGGTCAGATGAGACCAAAATTGAGCTCTTTGGCATCAACTCAACTCGCCGTGTTTGGAGGAGGAGGAATGCTGCCTATGACCCCAAGAACACCATCCCCACCGTCAAACATGGAGGTGGAAACATTATGCTTTGGGGGTGTTTTTCTGCTAAGGGGACAGGACAACTTCACTGCATCAAAGGGACGATGGACGGGGCCATGTACCGTCAAATCTTGGGTGAGAACCTCCTTCCCTCAGCCAGGGCATTGAAAATGGGTCGTGAATGGGTATTCCAGCATGACAATTACCCAAAACACACGGCCAAGGCAATAAAGGAGTGGCTCAAGAATAAGCACATTAAGGTCCTGGAGTGGCCTAGCCAGTCTCCAGACCTTAATCCCATAGAAAATCTGTGGAGGGAGCTGAAGGTTCGAGTTGCCAAACGTCAGCCTCGAAACCTTGAATGACTTGGAGAAGATCTGCAAAGAGGAGTGGGACAAAATCCATCCTGAGATGTGTGCAAACCTGGTGGCCAACTACAAGAAACGTCTGACCTCTGTGATTGCCAACAAGGGTTTTGCCACCAAGTCCTAAGTCATGTTTTGCAGAGGGGTCAAATACTTATTTCCCTCATTAAAATGCAAATCAATTTATAACATTGACATGCGTTTTTCTGGATTTTTGTTGTTGTTATTCTGTCTCTCACTGTTCAAATAAACCTACCATTAAAATTATAGACTGATCATGTCTTTGTCAGTGGGCAAACGTACAAAATCAGCAGGGGATCAAATACTTTTTTCCCTCACTGTATAGACACAGAATACCATTCTTTTAAACAAAAACCTATCAAAGGCAGGTGCAGAAAGGTAGCAAGGAAACACCTTCTTTGGAATGTCGATAAACCTGTTGCCTCTCCTTGTGAGAGATTCTTGTACATTCATGTCCCTTTAGCGACATGTAAGCATGTCTAATGAGAGACTAAAACATGTCTAATCTAGTTTTTTTTGTTTCCTCAGCCTCTTCTCAATACACTGGAGCAATCATTGGGATATTCCTAGCCCTTTTGGTCGTAGGATCTGGGATTGTTATCGCTAAAACAATATATTCCAGCCGTGACCGAATTTGCCTGGGTAAAACCCCTTTTCCCCATGAATTGCATTGTCCCTTTTGTTACAAGAGCTTCAAGTTAGCTCATCTGCCTTTGTTTATTATTGTGTAGTTTCATGAAAGGTGAAAGAAAAAGATCCATCAACCTAACCTTAAAGATAAGATATACTTTGATGATGAGTGACTTGGAAAGTTACTGACTTGCTAAAATATATATGTAAATACTAACAACCAACTTTGAAATCTAAATTGATCTTTTTTTTTTAACAGGTAATGGATGTGAGCGAATGGAGGAGGAGAGAGGAGATGTGTTGAGCCTGGTAGAGTCCGATGAAGAGGAGGTGTTTCATCAAGCAGTACCCAGACTGCCACCTCTACCTCTGACTAACGGACACAACACTACACTTGTACAAATACATAGAATCTCATCCAGTAAGAGATGATTCTAGCTGCTTCCTGCTTGTAGAGGGGGGGATTTCCCACTGGTGTACTAGCTGCATATATTTGTTTTGAAAAGGTGTAGGCCTGTTCTATGTTACATTATGAAGGCAAGTAATGTGATTGTAATGTTGTAATTGCATGTATCTATAATGTACAGTGGATAGAACTGTAACTATTCTGTTGCTGTTTTGTATTGACCTCATACTGTATATGCAGCTCTAACCCAAATTTGTAACCATCTCTTTTTCAGATGACCATGAAGATGAAGAAATTGTTGAACATCCATTACAGCTAGAAACTACAGATATGGAAGAACTTGTCACATTTTAGGTGTTGGAAGATTGTTTTTATGTAATTCTTTAAAGCATAGAGAACATTTTACTACGTATGAAACTGTGAGAAGATGTGTAATTATAGGTGGTTGGCTTTTACAGTAGCCTATGTAGATGTATGGGTCTGCTTTTTACTGTCCATTTCACTTTTTGGTTTTCACTTAAGGCTTATTCATTGATCATTAACAGGGTTATTTAAATGAATTGTTGCCATTTGTCTCATTAAATGACATTTTTGACAGTAATGTAACATTTCATAACATTTTGTATCATTCAAACACAAAATACATCTGAATAAAAAAACATAGGCAGGGATGGATGTACACTGAGTGCACAAAACATTAGGAACACCTTCCTAATATTGAGTTGCACCCCCTTTTGCCCTCAGCACAGCCTCAGTTCGTTGGGGCATGGACAAAAAAAGGTATCAAAAGCATTCCACAGGGATGCTGGCCCATGTTGACTTCAATGCTTCCCACAGTTGTGTCAAGTTGGCTGGATATCCTTTGCATGGTGGACCATTCTTGATACACACGGGAAACTGTTGAGCGTGAAAAATTCAGCAGCGTTGCAGTTCTTGACACACTCAAACCGGTGCGACTGGCACCTACAACCATACCCGGTTCAAAGGTACTTCAATGTTTTGTCTTGCCAGTTCATCCTCTGAATGGCACACATACACAATCCATGTCTCAAGGCTTAAAAATCATTCTTTAACCTGTCTCCTCCACTTCATCTACACTGATGAAAGTGGATGTAACAAGTGACATCAATAAGGGATCATAGCTTTCACCTGGATTCACCTTGTCAGTCTATTCATGGGAAGAGCAGATGTTCCTAATGTTTTGTACACTTCGTGTATGTCAATCAAATGTATTTATAAAGCCCTTTTTACATCACCAGATGTCACAAAGTGCTATACAGAAACCCAGCCTAAAACCCCAAACAGTAAGCAATGCAGATGTAGAAGCACAGTGGCTAGGAAAAACTCCCTAGCAAGACAGAAACCTAGGAAGAAACCTAGAGAGGAACCAGGCTCTGAGGGGTGGCCAGTCCCCTTCTGGCTGTGCCTGGTGGAGATTATAACAGTACATGGCCATTAAGGCCAGATTTTTCTCCAAGATGTTCAAACGTTCATGGATGACCAGCAGGGTCAAATAACAGGTCAGTACATCAGGAGTAAATGTCACTTGGCTTTTCATAGCCGGGCATTTATAGGTTGAAATAGCAGGTGCGGTAGAGAGAGAGAGAGTTGAAAACAGCAGGTCTGGGACAAGGTAGCATGTCAGGTGAACAGGTCAGGGTTCCATAGCTGCAGGTAGAAGAGTTGAAACTGGAGCAGCAGCATGACCAGGTGGACTGGGGACAGCAAGGAGTCATCAGGCCAGGTAGTCCTGAGGTATGGTCCTAGGGCTCAGGTCCTCTGGGAGGGGAGGGAGAGCGGGAGAGAGAGAGGGAGAATTAGAGGGAGCATACTTAAATTCACACAGGACACCAGATAGACAGGAGAATAACACCAGATATAACAGACTGACCCTAGCCCCCAGACACATAGACTATTGCAGCATAGATACTAGATGTTTCTCTCTCACTCTCTCTTTCTCTTTTTATTAATGAACAATAGATACAATTTACAAGTCGGAATGAGCAGGGGCGCAACTTTGGTTTTAGAAGTGGAGGGGGGACATAATTGTTTTTTTTATTGTTTTTATCCAGTCAGATAAACACTCCAAACAGCCTACTGACGCACGAGGCGTCCGCATGGTCCTAAATCACACGCTTTGCCTCGTTTTGTATCACATTCCAATTATAAAACTGTGGGGGACAAAAATGCAATTTCAGAATGTGGGGGGGACCCCGTCCCCAGTGAAAGTTGCGCCCCTGGGAATGAGTATGCTTATCAATAGATCAAAAAAGCAATAAAGCCAAGACAGTCCATATTATGTAATAGAAAACAAGGGCACGTGTGGCAAGGTAGCCAATCGCATCGCATTGGAGAGATGAAATTTTACTGTACAGGAAATCAGATGAATTCCGATTTGACTTACATTTCTCTTCCGAAAGCTTTAAAAAAACAATATTAGTCTATATCACATCATTTAGCGATCGAAATATACAGTATGCGCTCTGTTTTTCTCTCGGAATATGGCATTTTAACATGGGATTACTGACTGGACGGCATTGTTAGATAATCAGGAAGTATAGGCATTGAACCGATCAAGAATGTGATAACCTGCTCCGGTCAACGTCTATCATTTGCAAAAATGTGTTCATTGAAAGACAACATTCGGCGCATACGGTCAGGTACGTTCCATTTTATTTATAGGCCTATAATAAAACAATATACAGGTAACTGCCTAAATAAAGTAAACACTTGAGTAAATTAGGGTTTTGGCGGCTCTGTTATGGTGTGAGGTGCATTTTCCTGGCATTGTTTAGGTCCACTGAGGGCAAGGTAAACACCAATAAATACATACACATCCATTCTGAGTGATCACCTTCAACCTTTGATTAATCGCTTCTATCCTGGTGGGAGTGGTCTCTTCCAGGATGACAATGCCCCCATTCACAGGGCACGAGTGGTGGTCACTGAATGATTTGATGAGCATGAAGCCCAAACAGATATAACGTTTGACTAAAACAATCATTTCAAACCTTGCTTTCATTTGTATATGATCACATATATATCTGTATTATGGGTGGGGATACTTTGGAACAGATTTCCAAAATTATAATCACTTGGAGCTGATTTGCTGGTGTGTTTGGGGGGCAAATAAAATGTGGCCCGTGGGCCGCCAGTTGGGGAACCCTGATGTAAACCAGATGCAATGATCTCAATTAAAACGAACACTAATGGGAGACTCTGGTGCAGTGCCTGAGACAGCGTTTTCCACCACCATCAACAAAACACCAATTGATGGAATTTATTGTGGAAGAATGGTGTAGCATCCCTCCAACAGAGTTCCAGACACTTGTAGAATCTATGCCAAGGCTTTTCTGGCGGCTCGTAGTGACCCAACACCCTGTTAAGAGACTTTATGTTGGTGTTTCCTTTTATTTTTCAGTTACCTGTAAATAGCTTTCAGAAACAGTAAATCCCATGTAGAGATGGGGAGAAAGGAAAGGGAAGAATTGCCTACTGAACAGCTGGCGCACTGACAAATATGTGGAGTATTCACTCAAATGTACTGTATTACCGTAGTCCAACAACATTAATTGTTTCCATTCTAACTTCTCACCTCTCACAGCTTCCGATGGGCTGATATTGGAATTGAAATCCGCCCACCCTCCATCCCTGGAGGGGCGCGCTGGCTGCGAGACGTGGAGCGTTGATTTCTCTCCGGATGGATCCTGGTTTGCATGGTCCATGGGACACGGGATTGTGTGGGTGATCGCCTGGCCGCTTCAGTTTGATAAGTATGTAGGGCCTTTAAAGACTACAGGCCTGTAAATATTCCTTCCTCCTTCCTTCCTTCCTTCCATCCATTCTTCCTTGCTTCCTCTCCTCCTTCCTCATTTGAAGGTCTCGATGTTATTCATCAGCAACTCTTGAGTTTTTGCCTTCATTTGTTTACTGACAATAACGCTTGTCCATATAGGGTTGAGATTGCCCTGGAGAGCAACAGACAGGACAAGACCCTGAACTGTGATCAGACAGTGTGGGGGCTGGCGTTTGGACCACGTCCATCAAAGACACCAGCACCTGGAGAAAAAGCAGCATCCTGTGATAGAGAGTCATCCAGACTGCTTCTGGCCACTGGTTTAGACAATGGAGTGATCAAGATATGGGATGTTGTAACTGGTGGGATATCTAACTTAGGACACTGTTCTATTTCATTTATTGACCACATGATGCCAAGTCTCTAATGTTAACCTGCAACTCACAGTGCCCTGATAACATTTTCAGGTCAGCCTCGGTTTGACCTCAAAGGACACGAGGGTATTGCAAGGGACCTGGTCTTCACTCCCAACGGAAAGCTCACCCTCGTATCTTCCTCTCGAGACAAAACTTTAAGGATATGGGATCTAACCCAGAAAGGTCAGCTATTGTTATACATCTAAAAACCATTGCACCAAAGGATATGTCTCTCATCTTCTCCAATGCAGAAATGCATGGACATGTTTATTGCACATGGAATTGACCCTAAACTTCTATATACTGTATCTGTTTCTCTGCCCTCCATAGGTAAAAAGGAGCCACATGTCCTCACTGGCCACAAGGACTGGGTCAGCTGCTGTAGTGTTTCACCAGACTGCAGCATGATCGCATCCATTGGCAGGTTTGACAGAGTGAGTTGCCCCTCAGCAGAGCACTCTCCAAGAGAAGGAGAACTCTGGCCAATCTGTTTTGATAAAGTTAGTTGGTATTGTTTTCTTGGCTGTAGCAGACAAGCTGCAAACTAACTAAAGGACATGTCACACTACTGAACAGAACGAAACCAAGCTGTACTAAGCTGGCCTGGTTTCGCAACCACAATAGTTGCGGAAACCGTGCTGAAAAGGAAATGTCTGAGCCAGCAGAGTTTGGTTCGACTCAGCATGGTAGTATGAAAAGGGTATACCCATTTTTTTATTTTACCAGATGGTGTGTCTATGGAGCCTGCGGTCGTACACCTTCATCAGGAACCTAATGGGGATCAACCACAAGACATTCTACCTGTTAGCTTCCTGTGACTTCTCTCCTGATGGGGCACTGCTCGCCACCGCAGCCTTCAGTGGTTCCAGTTGGTGGATCGATCTGTGGGACCCCTACACTGCACAGAAATTGTCATCTCTAATGTTCGTCTCTATTTTAATACAGAGAGAGAGAGAGAGAGAGAGTTGTGTGTGGATAATGGTTTGATATGTGTGGAAGGATAATGGTGTGATATGTGTAGCAGGATAATGGTGTCTTATGTGTAGCAGGATAATGGTGTGATATGTGTGGTGCATTAGTTGACACATCGTTGCTTTTTCTTTCCCATAGGGATTGCTCTGAGATGTATGGACAGAACCAAATCTCATCATTGAGATTCTCCCCCGAGGGTTTGCAACTGGCCATTGTTACTGAAGACAGGTAAGAGTTCAGTTAAGAGCTTTGCACTCTCCTCAACAAATTAAAAGAGAAAGTACTAGGCCTTGTGTTCCATGTGTTTCACAGAGCCCTCCAGATGTGGGAGCCGGGACAAAGGGGCATGGTGATGCAGACCAAGGAGGACCGTGCCTCCAACGGGCTGTGCTGCAACTTCCATCCACAAGGGGGAGTCGTAGCCACAGGGTAGATTTACTTTACTTGCTCATTCTCATTAGAATAACTTGATACAAATATGAGCCTCCTACACTTAACTCATTTTAGATCCAGCTCTGTCCAAGCCTGGAAGCTCTGTCAAGCCTGGAAGCTCTGTCCAAGCTCTGTCAAGCCGAATACCTGTATTTGCGTTTCCTAAATAGTAGGCATTTTAGGTATGCAATTATTTATTTATTTAGTTTTAGTATGCTTTAAATGCCAGGATGTCATACTCATTTAGGCTTTTCATCTAGTAGAATTCACTGCACACTATTGAGTAAGGGAATCGTCTTTTAACGACCCATGTGTGTCTGACTTAGGTATGGAAAGGGAGGGTATATTAATGGAAACTTTCCAAGTTTACCAGTAAACTACCAGATTTTTGGTATCTTTCATGGATTTTATGTAATCTATCACAAGACATCTAGTGGTCCTTTTGGGTACTTCAGATTATCACAGGTGTCTGTAATTATCTCTGGCCCTCTGTGTGGCCTTATCACATGTAAAATATATGAAATAATTAAATATGATTTAAAAAATAATAGAATGACAAAGCTGTAAAACATTATCCTACATAAATTATAACCCATCACCTTAGTGAATAGCATTGGTGTTTAATATGAGGGTTTCAGCATGAAATATTGTTTTTCTTTTACTGTCTATGTATTTGTTGTCAATGTTTTGGCTTCAAACTGGTGGCAGTTGTGAAAAAAGTCAATAGTTGGAAGAGTTCCAGAGTTAATTGATAATGCCATGGTTAGTTAGATGCTTTTTTCATTAATTAGGCTATTTTCTCTTGAACCATATGGTCTATCTACTAGAAATTAATGGACAATATGGACACAGATATAAAAATGAATAATATATTAATACATTTTTCAAAAGTTATTCAAGTATAAATGACCAAAGTTACGATAGATTGCCATAGAATTTGTTAATTACCAAAGATTCCGATAACTATAGTAAATTACCAGTAGCTTTGCAACCCTAGTCTGACAACAGCTGATAATCAGCTGAGGGGAAGCGCTGTACCAAAATAAATGAATGTCGGGAATCAACGCAATTGCGCATTAGATGACGCATTTTCAGTAGGATGAGCCTAGTATGCCGATATTAGTTGCTTACTGCATTCGTTTTACCTAACCGTACATTCTAAATAGTATTTAGTATGATTAGTACACAGTATGCAGTTTAAGTAAGTAGTAGGCAAGCCAGATTTCGGACACGACCCCGTGTCGTTGCAGTTTAGGTCTTTTTAGTAATTAGTCTTATTTAGTTGGCATATCCATGTAGAAAGATTAAAACAAGGTAAACAAATTGGCTGTGTTCTTTTTGCAGGACCAGAGATGGCCATGTGAGGTTCTGGAGGGTTCCCAGGTCAGTGCCCAGTCTGTGCCACCTGTGCCGCTCCGCCCTGCGCCACTCAGTCTCCACCCACCAGGTGGAGGCCCTCCCTATCCCACGCAGGATCCTGGAGTTCCTCACCTACAGAGACATCCCGAACCACTCGGAAGCACGATCTGACCGCTCCTCAGATGAGGAATAGTGACTTTTGGGAATGGGTGGAGAGCATGTTTCTGGACTCCATTTGCAATGCATTTGAGTTGGTGGATGTATTGACTGACTAATTATGGAACAGTCAAAGGAGGAGAGCTAATTATTTGCCTCATTTTGGAATGCATAAAAAGTTGGTGGGAATGTTGTCTGACTGAAAGGAAAGGGACTTTCAAGGACCTTGAGTGGAGTGGATACTTTGTGGTTTACACAAAATCAGTCATGTCCCATCAGCTATTTGCCCAAGGAAATCTCTCAGGATGTCAAAATGGAAATTAGCAAGTGATTATACTCAAACATACAGCTGAACTTTTAAAACTCTTAAATCCTAACATTATACTGGTTAATTTACATAAATTGCACCAAAAAATGGAAGGTACTAGATGTATATTTTGTGCTAGGGGTATATTGTATGATATAACTATTATAGTGTGTAAATTGACATGTGTAATTTTGCTGAGTAAATATACATTTTGTATTGTGTAAATTGGTCTAATTAAATCATTATTCCATATATAGTTAAAAAAAATACACAAATTACATACTTCATTTTATTAAACAGAAATTCAATTTAATGTACATAAAGGAATATTGAGCAGACAAGCACAAGTGTTTTTATGACGTTAGTCTCAAGAGTTCTCTCCCCTCACGCTTTCATTGAGAAATGTTCTATTTTAGTGAACAACATGGTATGCGGGCCGCGACCGGGAGACCCATGGGGCGGCGCACAATTGGCCCAGCATCGTCCAGGGTAGGGGAGGGAATGGCCGGCAGGGGATGTAGCTCAGTTGGTAGAGCATGGCGTTTGCAACGCCAGGGTTGTGGGTTCGATAAAATAATGTATGCGCTAACTGTAAGTCGCTCTGGATAAGAGCGTCTGCTAAATGACTAAAATGTAAATGTATGCAGGCCTTTTGTTGCAGCCCAACACTAACACACCTGACTCAAGTAACCATGGTCTCGACCAGCAATGTATTAATTGCATCAGGTGTGTTAAAGATGGGCTGGAACAAAAACATGCACACCCCATAGCTCTCCAGGAACCGGGTAGGTGACCACTGTGTACTAGATCATGGGTTCCCAAAAATTTTCACTCAGACCCCCTTCCAGCAATGGGGAACATCCCGCGCCCCGTCTATTTCTATGGGCACAAGCACTGTTCATGACACAAACTGTTCACACCCCTCTTGTTGGTGGAGAGAAAATGTTGCACGTTTAAAAGCTTATTTCCTGCAATTCAAACATTTTGTCATGGGGTGCAGAGAAAATGTTGCAGTTTTAAATCTCAACTTTATACATTTTGCCATGTATAATGTGTATTCATGTGATTTGAGTCTCAAACATTACAACAAAATCTATGGGCTAAGAAACGAGCTAAAAAACGTTAGCTGACACGGGCTAGTTGATCTGGACATTTCTGACAAGTTATAAATAGCTCTCTAAGGTATGCAATGACTAACGTGACAAGAGGAAAACTGATGATGCACTACCCAATTTCGAAATTGCATCTTGTGCATTCTATTACAACTTTCAAGAGTAATTTGAAAGCCGCACTGAGTTCACAGTGGTCACGGTTTGGGAAGCACCGTACTAGATGGTTGTGACTGTTTGGGGACCGCTGGTCTAGGTGGCCTCATTGACCATGATATCTCTCACTGCCTGAAAAGCTGCCACCATCGAACTCAACTGGGTCTTCTCGCTGGGTCCCGAGGCCAGCCGGTACCTATAAGAACAAAACACATTATCAAAAAAGTGTAACATATTAGTCATCTTAATTTACATTTAAGTCATTTAGCAGATGCCATTTTCCAAAGCGACTTCCAATTTGTAGGGTATATAAGCAACAGTCATACTGAAGATACAGGACTTACTCAATATCTGCCAACTTGATAAGCAAACCCATCCGAATCGCAGGAGGGAAGTCCACTGTAAGAAATGAAAATGCATGGTTAATTTATACCAAAGAAGTGTATCAAATACCTCAAAACATGTATCATCGCGTTGTAAAATGAACAGGTGTAGCAACGTCACGCATTAATCCTACGCCTCAATCAGACCGACTGCATCATTGCATCAACGCTGCAGAACATTTAGCATAATATTAGGCCGGGATGATACCAGTATCACGATACTCGTTAGTATCGTGGCAAGGAAACAAAACACAAAGTGGAATTAACTTCATCAGGAAAACAGCCTTAATGTTGGAAACAGAGTCACATTTATTTATTTCCCAAGCTATAGCACACTATTTTCCGTACTGGTTTTTAAATGACCAAAGGGTTAGGTCTGCTTCGTGTTTTCTCATGAAAAAAATATTACGATATTGGTATCGTCACTAGCTATGCAACTATACTGAACGCATGAATCTACCACACGTGTTGCAGACGGTCGCATGGTTGTTAAAACGCAATGACGCTGTCGGTCTGACCCCCCCGTCCTCGTCAACAATCAAGACAGGACTGAGGCGTCAACCAATGTCCTCAAGTCACAGAAGGAGACACCTCTCCATGGGGGAGAAATATCCCCATTCTTCTTCAATGGCTTCACTTCATCCAGGAAGACACCCAGCTAAGAAAGAACCCTGCTGTCAAATGGCCACAGTTTGAATGTCAAAGGAATTAGTCTCGGTGGAGACGGCCCCAAATGGTTCCCAATCAATGGGAGGTCCTTTACCTTTATGTAGCAGAGTGAAGACCCTGGGTGATACCAAGGGACCGGACTGCTACATTTACATTTTAGTCATTTAGCAGACGTGACTTACAGGAGCAATTAGGGTTAAGTGCCTTGCTCAAGGGCACATCGACAGATTTTTCACCTAGTCGGCTCGGGGATTAGAACCAGCGACCTTTCGGTTACTGGCAAAACGCTCTTAACCACTAAGCTACCTGCTACAGTGAAAAGACACAAAAAAGGTACAATTCTATTTTTCCAAAGGACACAGAGTATTTCTGATATCCAGTGTAACAAATGACTGACTGTGTAATTATGCTATGTCTTTCACTTTGTGTAATGAATTTCAGATATTTTCAAGCAGACTCCCCTGTAGCTCAGTTGGTAGAGCATGGCACTTGCAACGCTAGGGTTGTGGGATCGTTCCCACAGGGGACCAGTATGAAAATGTATGCACTCACTAACTGTAAGTTGCTTTGTATAAGAGCATCTGCTAAATTACTAAAATGTAAATGTCTATCATGAATTTGAAGTTATTACCATGTCAATTTTGGTATGTACGGAACCACAAGGAAATTACATGAAATTGAAATAGGTTTTGTGACTGCACAAAGAAGGTACAGACAGTTATGGACATAATACATTATGAACAGAACCTAACTAAACCACACCTTCTTTCACACCTGGACTCAAGTGGGAGTGACTGATCTGAAGCTTGGCCAATCAGAATTCAACACAGATGAATAAGTATACAAGCTGATTGCCCTACTTTCCTCAAATGCATTGGTGTTAAGCTGTAGGCCTAATTTTATGATTTTGTGTATTGATTAATGTACTGCAGTTTTTATTCCTAATGCTAATAGATCATTAGATGATGTACCACAGAGCAGCCATTTGTTACATTTAAGTCATTTAGCAGACGCTCTTATCCAGAGCGACTTACAGTTAGTGAGTGCATACATTTTCATACTTCAAGTGTTGCATCTGTGCTGCTCTAGTGTTGACTACAGGTAGCTAAATAAGGTGCTATCCCATTGCATTGTTTGTTTGATCATTTAATAAATGTTGCGCGTTTACAAGCGTGTGGTTCTGGTACCAAACAGTTCTACAGCTCTAAAGAATTTACGATGCCTTCAGAAAGTTGGATGATAGTTGATAAAGATTAATTTAAGACCAGAGTTTTCCATAGCCTCAGATTATGGATGGTGCCCCGTATATTTCATAACTAATAATCAAACCACGTATCACATATTTTCACCGTTGCTTCTTTATATAAGGAGGGACACCTCTATAATATACACTACAGAATTGCATCAAATCATCGTATCATAAAATTAACTATAATTATAAATAACTATAAAGCCCTCTATGGTAAGGCATGATGAATCTGCCAAGATAGTTAAGAACAGAAATACATAACCTCAGAAATAAGACAATTCTTCATAATCATAAAAACCAAACCAAATCTCGCTATATTGTTCATTTCAATGCTAAAACGTAGCAGTAGTGATGCGTACCACACTACTGAGGGCAAGCCATTCCTCCTACCATGACAACACCGGTAGCCATGGCAACCACGAGGGGTCTCCCAGGAAACCAGACCAAGAAAGCATCTAGTCACTGTGCAGATAGTGTCAAATCCAAGCCTGGTATGTCTTCTCTCATATACTGTGTCTGTTTACAATGACAATATACAGTGCCTTCAGAAAGTATTCACACCCCTAGACTTTTTCTACATTTTGTTGTGTTACAGCCTGAATTAAGAAGGTATTAAATTGAGATTGTGTGTCACTGGCCTACACACAATACCCCATAATGTGAAAGTAGGTTTGAATATCCCTTTGAGCATGGAGAAGTTATTAATTACACTTTGGATATCAATACACCCAGTCACTACAAAGATAAAGGAGTCCTTCCTAACTCAGTTGCCGGAGAGGAAAGAAACTGCTCAAGGATTTAACCATGAGGCCAATGGTGACTTTAAACTGTTACAGAGTTTAATGGCAGTAATAGGAGAAAACTAAGCATGGATCAACAACATTGTCAATTGGGTTAGTATTTTGGAGTAACTACAGAGTGAAAAGAAGGAAGCCTGTACAGAATAAAAATATTCCAAAACATGCATCATGTTTGCAATAAGCCTCTAAAGTAAAACTGCAAAAAGATGTGGCAAAGAAATTAACTTAATGTCCTGAAAACAAAGCGTCATGTTTGGGGCAAATCCAACACATCACTGAGTACCACTCTTCATATTGTCAAGCATGGTGGTGGCTGCATCATGTTATGGGTATGCTTGTCATCATCAAGGACTAGGGAGTTTTGTAGGATACAAATAAAATGAATAGAGCTAAGCACAGGTAAAATCCTAACGGAAAACCTGGTTCAGTCTGCTTTCCAACAGATACTGGGGGGGGGGGGGGAAATCACCTTTCAGCAGGACACAAGCATTTAGCTACACCCGCAATAACATCTGCTAAACATGTGTATGTGACAAATAAAATTTGATAACAACCTAAAACTCAAGCCAAATATACACGAGTTGCTTACCAAGACGATGTTCCTGAGTGGCCTAGTTACAGTTTTGACATAAAATGGGCTTGAATATCTATGGCAAGACTTGAAAATGGCTGTCTAGCAATGATGAACAACCAACTTGACAGAGCTTGAAGAATTTAAAAAAAGAATAATGTGCAAATACTCTACAATCCAGGTGTGCAAAGCTCATAGAGACGTACCCAGAAAGACTCACAGCTTAATCACTGCCAGAGGTGATTCTAACATGTATTGACTGAGTGGTTTGAATACTTATGTAAATGAGACATCTGTATTTCATTTTCAATACATTTGTAAAAATATCTAAAAACATGTTTTCACTTTGTCATTATGGGGTATTGTGTGTAGATGGGTGAGAAAACAAAATCTAAATGTAATCCATTTTGAATTCAGGCTGTAACACAACAAAATGTGGAATTAGTCAAGGGGTATGAATACTTTCTGAAGGCACTGTGTATATGTATACACATTTTAAAAAATGTATATACACATACACACGTTACATTATGTAATTCTTGTAAAAATAAACAGTAGGCTAGGCCCTGCCCGACAATAATTGTGTAAAAGTCCATAATCTCCAAGTATATTTAACACATTGAAAGGCCCAGACAAAAACGCATTTTCAAAATACAGCTTCAGATTGAGGATACAGTGATTCTACCTGTGATGCATACAATGGAAATACCCAATCACATACAGTATGGAAATGCATAATATGTGCTTTACATACAGTATCTGTAGAACCAGTCCTGTCCAGTCCTTACCTCTGTGTATGAGTAGATGGACTTCAGTCAGGATGTCATGCAGGGCTAGGCCTTTCAGGGTCTTCAGCTGAAGAATCACTATGGAACAGAAGCTAAGGAACATCTCTCAATATCAAGGATGGGATTTATCCTTTAGTATAATTCCAGGAATTCAAGCTTTTCTGACATTATCCTCTACATATCCATACATAACAGAAACGGACATATCACCACCTAGCCAAAATTCCGATGTTCTATGTTGTGCTGATCACATACAGGAGTGCGATTCTTCCTTATTAATTTGTGCTTTTCTGACATGATCCTCTATTCACAGGCTACATCACTGAAATAGACTTTCTATACCGACCTAATAACAGCCCTGAATACTAGAACACAGCAAGGTATTCAGAGCCATTTCCTAGAAGAGGTTGAAGCAACCGGGTACAAGGTGTCCTCACATCACCTCCATGATGTGAAGCACACATGGCGGCAGGTAGCTTAGTGGTTAAGAGCGTTGTGCCAGTACCCGAAAGGTCGCTGGTTCTAATCCCCGAGCCGACTAGGTGAAAAATCTGTCGATGTGCCCTTGAGCAAGGCACTTAACCCTAATTGCTCCTGTAAGTCGCTCTGGATAAGAGCGTCTGCTAAATGACTAAAATGTAAAATGTCAATACTGTGCCCCTTACCTGAACCTCTATCAATTATCTTCAATAGAGGGGACGAGAGATACTACGCTATACTGAGATGTGACACTATGTGGAGATACCACATATTGGAGATAATATGCTAAATGGAGATATTACGCATTGGAGATTGTATTCTCAGATGGACATTTTGCTATTTCTAGATACTGCGCTACAGAACGTAGATATACCATGCATTGGAGATATTGTTATTTGAAAGAGCTGCTTATTGAAAAAAAATATATACCCATTGTGGGGAAAAACAAGCATGTTCTATTGAAGAGAGTAAGCTAAACATAAATTGTCGTAATAAATATGGTTGTAAAAGAGAATAAAGGATACGGTTGTAAGCAGAGGTGAAGTCCTTGTTTAGGGACCAGTCCAGAATGTTGGCTATGTCTGATCGTAGTGGATGACCAGTGCAGGTGTACACATTATCCTCTGTCACCTTCCCATATGCCATGCTGGTGCTCTGAGAAATACATGGGTAAGGAATCAGTCAGTCATAAAATATAACAAAAATAAATCCACTTTAAGGAGCTAGTACACTATATCTTTATTACATGGCTAATACTAGCGGTGGGCACCAATATTGATAATTCGAGTTGATATTGATATTGTTTGATATCAATAAGAGAAAGGCATATTGTGATTTCAGTTTATTCTTCCTGTGAAAAAGGATACTGGAGGTCCAACTCCAGTCTCCTTTTGACCTCATTTAACACCCGATTTACTTAACAAAAGGTACATCTCAATAGGTGGTCCAGGTATGACCTGCACCAGTGGGTGGGCCTTTCCTCTCTTGTTCTCTATTGTTCCTCAAGCAAGGGGGGAGGCCGATGACATCACACCGGACCAACTCCTTGAATGCCCTACTCCTTAAAGTTTACAGTTCCGTCTAAAAAAAAAAAAACTATTTTGCGCAAAACATATTGTTTTACCCTTAAGTGAGTACATTACGTAGGATATCGCTTTTCAACAGGAACATTTAAAAAAATCTATGGAGGATGTCTTTAAAGCTAGAATCCTTAGTTGCTACATCCCTTTTTGGACTTATAAATGAATTATATATATATACCCATTGATTCTTGAAGAATATAACTTATAAATACCTCATGAGCTTAGTTCAACTATCATACCCCATCAGAACCCAAAATATCAGCTTGTTTTACTCCAATGTTTGTAAACAATGTAAATAAAAACTGTATAGCCTCAAAACATGATGAAAGCTCTCATTTTGATATCATGGATGGTTAGTCCTTGCACCCGTAGGCAGCTCTGTCTATGAATTAGAGAGTTTTTACATTTCTCCAGGCCCATCCCTCAGCTTTTTACCAAAACAGAGGCGGGGACTCACTTTGTTATTTTTTAAATTAAGGATTCTAGCTTTAACCTACACTGTTCTGTAAAAAAGTATACATGACTGTTCCTGTATGCACAAAACCCTCTCACAGACCTTCTCACAGGGCAGGCTCTTGACTCAGCATATTTAATTGCCTGCTGATGGGCCTCAACTGTGGGCTTTCCATTGTATTCAAACTGGTTAGATAGGTTTATGCTACCAGAACATTTACACCTGTCCCAATGGGCAATCCACAAGCAGATGTCTAGACTTTACAGAAAAGTGAACATTCACACAGTTGCAATGTATTTTTTTACAAACTGATATATCAATATGAAATCGAAAAATGCTACTGATATAAATGTTCCATATCGGTGACCATCACTAGTTAATACATGAATACATTTTGATCAGCAATAAAAACTGAACACTGTGATGCAATTGACTACATTTAGCTACACACTGGTAATACGTTTTTCTGTACCTGCAGTATGTTGAGTGATCTTCTCATGTCTCCTGATGATAGGGTCACAATAGCTTTCATTCCATCTGGAGTTACATCAGTGCTGCAGGGACAAGATCAGACATAAGCCTCTGATTAAAAGGCAAGAATAAAACCCAGCACACAGCATTTTTTTGGGACGCTAAAAGCCCCCCCCCTAAGACATCCTTGGGCCTCTCCAGACCATCTCACCTCTCCCGTTCGATAACATACTCCAGCCTGGGAATCATCTGGTCCTGAGACAGGGGTCCGAAGCGGAACCTGGTGCATCTGGACTGCAGGGCCGGGATGATCTTAGACAGGTAGTTACAGATCAGACAGAACCGCGTGTTCTCTGTGTACTTCTCAATGACTGTAGGAGAGGAAGAGAGAGGAGAAAGAGGAAGGGAGAAATGGATGTCAGTGATTTCAAGATCAGCGGACATAACCTCATAAAAATCTAAAATCTAACCTGCTGTTAAATCAGTGGGATCTATTACAAGCAATTGCAGCACATTAATATTGTAAATAATTAGCAGTAATAACGGGGTAATATACAGCATTCAACATTTTGGTTGTCGTCTCACATCCCATGTTACAGTAAGCACATCTTTTAATCAGTGAGAATGACTGCAAATGACTGGTTAGCTGGCAGGCAGCTCATTTGGCCAGTTGGTACACAGCAGGTGAGCACCTCAAAACAGATGGTTACCTCGTCGCAATGCATTCTGGGCATCCCGGGTCATAGCATCAGCCTCGTCCAGTATCACCAACTTGAAACCCTTCCTGGAAGACAAAAGACAGAAAATAAATAAACAAAAAATAAACACACATTTTGTGAATTGAAGTAAGGGTTGTCTGTGTACGATACGGGACTTTCAATAATCTAGTGTGTTCCCTTGTCCTTGCTGACTGGAAAACTGATTGCGATATGGTAACTAAGAGACCTACTTCTCTAAAAGGAAAATAACATTTTGAAGTATTATTATTAGGGATTGTAACAATTTACCGATACGGTTTGGTATCCTGTACAAATGTTTAAGATAGGAGTGTGTCGGTCCGCGGGAGCCAAAACCGATCCAAATGTTGCATGAGTCATCACTAATTTTTTTTACTCATTTCATTTTATTCCCCCCCTCTGAAAATACCTCTAATATTTTGTGACTGAATTTATGCGTCATCACACCAAGTAGCCAATATTGAACTAAGCATGTAAATGTGTATGACAGTCATTGATCTAAAAGTCAGATAACAGCTGTGCATGCCAACAAGAGGTAGGCCTATCCCTGATCTAATATTTGTACATCTATGCAGCACCTTCCGCATTCAAATGGTTGTAAAATGGCTTTCGCAATGTCAAATCATAGGCTTTATTAGTTGGGTGACAACCAATGTAATTTGCTGGGTCATTGTTACCAAATGCGCTGTAGAAAATGTGGTGAATGTGTTTTACTGGTGGAGTTGTGTAGGCTAGGCTACCGGAGTGGACACAACTCACATCTAACTGATTGGGGCTTTTCGATTGGCATGTTCACCATAACAAATAGCTTTGGTAGTTTTGCTTTAAATAGTGCATTGGTAATTTGTACATGAACAGGATTAAGTTGTAATTTCACAAGCAGGACAACAATCATTTTTGCAAGCCGCACTCGGTTGGAGCAGGAGAAGAACAGCTCTCCTCCATAAAGTTCCAAACCCTTCACTTTTGAGAAGGGGACGAAATCCAAAGCTGGTGTACAAAAACGCAATGACACTGTCGATCTGATCGAGGCGTTAGAGCGGAGTCGCCCCCCCACTGACCTTGTCCACACCGTCTGACTAGGAAGGATACCTCCTTCTTCCAATCAACATCTCAAATCTACAATCAACACAGGATTGAGGCATCGACTAGGGCAACAGGTAGCGTAGTGGTTAGAGCGTTAGGCCAGTAACCGAAAGGTTGCTGGTTCGAATACCCGAGCCAACAAGGTGAAAAATCTGTTGATGTGCCCTTGAGCAAGGCACTTAACCCTAATTTGCTCCATGGCCCCCCTACTACTATGGCTGACCCTGTAAAACAACACATTTCACTAAACCTATCCAGTGTATGACAATAAAACTCCTCAAGTCACAGAAGGAGACATCTCTCCATGGGGGAGAAATATCCCCATTCTTCTTCAATGGCTTCACTTCATCCAGGAAGACACCCAGCTAAGAAAGAACCCTGCTGTCAAATGGCCACAGTTTGAATGTCAAAGGAATGATCCTCGGTGGAGACTGCCCCAAACGGTTCCCAATCAATGGGAGGTCCTTTACGTTTGCACGACAAAGAGAGGTTGCAGAGTGTAGGCCCTGGGTGATACCAAGGGACCGGACTGCTACAGTGAAAAGACACAAAAAAACGTAAATTGTATTTTTTCCAAAGGACACACAGAGTGCCAAAGATTATTTCTGATATCCAGCATAACAAATGAATAATTGTGTACTTATGCTATGTCTCTCACTTTGTGTAATGAATTTCAGATATTTTCGAGCATTCATGAATTTGAAGTTATTAGCATGTCAATTTCGGTATGTACGGAACCACAAGGAAATTACATGAACATTGAAATAGGTTTTGTGACTGCACAAAGAAAGCACAGACAGTTATAGCCATAATACGTTACGAACAGAACCTAACTAAACCACACCTTTCACACCTGGACTCAAGTGGGAGTGATTGATCTGAAGCTTGGCCAATCAGACTTCATCACAGATAAATATCTGTGTTATATTAATTGGCTAAGTCAAAGCTAATTTCTAAAGACAAATATTGACATATTACTAGCTAAAAAAAAATATATCTGCTAAAATGACTAGTGAATCAGTGGGTGATGGGGATTTCAGACTGCCTGCCCCCCCTAATCTGATAGTGGTAGATGCTCAGTCTGGCCTATTGCTCAGCTCAGGTGCATACACACACCATATACTGTACAGCACTCACTCACACAAACAGAATGCCACTCAGCTCAGAGAAGTCAGTTCAGACACATCCAGTTTAGAAAGGCCCAGCTTGTGAGCTCCATCAGCATCAGAATTTAATATAGAATGTAAAATTAATGTGTTCACGCAACAAATGTTAGTGCATCAAATGGTTTTTGAATCCTGAACTGAATCGCATCGATTCCTTCCACTAATCAAACCGTATTTCACCGAATCGTTTCAAACTAAAAGTATCGTATCAGAGCCCATGTATCTAGATGCGTACCGAATCGTGCTTGAAAGGAAAAGATTCACATCCCTAATTATTATTGTCTTACTTGAATATGGTCCTGGTGCTGGCAAAACTCAGGATGGGTCCTCGAACAACATCAATACCTCGGTCGTCGGACGCATTTAGCTAAAATAAAATAAATGCATTAACATGTAAGAGCAATAATTTGTTAGAATAACACATACAGTGCATTTGGAAAGAATTCAGACCTCTTGCCTTTTTCCACATTTTGTTACGTTACAGCCTTATTCTACAATTGATTAAATTGTTTGTTTCCCTCCAAACTTTTTCCACTTAAGAATGATGGAGGCCACTGTGTTCTTGGGGACCTTCAATGCTGCAGAAATGTTTTGGTACCCTTCCACAGATCTGTGCCTCGACACAATCCTGTCTCTTGAGCTCTACGGACAATTCCTTCAACCTCATGGCTTGGTTTTTGCTCTGACATGCACTGTCACCTGTGGGACCTTATATAGACAGGTGTGTGCCTTTCCAAATCATGTCCAATCAATTGAATTTACCACAGGTGGACTCCAATCAAGTCGTAGAAACATCTCAAGGATGATCAATGGAAACAGGATGCACCAGAACTCAATTTCGAGTCTCATTGCAAAGGGTCTGAATACATGTAAATAAGGTATTTCTGTTTTTAATTTTGAATAAATTAGCAAAAATGTCTAAAAACCTGTTTTCACTTTGTCATTATGGGGTATTGTGTGTACAACTTATCCAGAACGCCGCAGCCCGTCTGGTGTTCGACCTTCCCAAGTTCTCTCATGTCACCCCGCTCCTCCGCACACTCCACTGGCTTCCAGTTGAGGCTCGCATCTACTACAAGACCATGGTGCTTGCCTACGGAGCTGTGAGGGGAATGGCACCTCCTTACCTTCAGGCTTTGATCAGACCCTACACCCAAACGAGGGCACTACGTTCATCCACCTCTGGCCTGCTAGCTCCACTACCTCTACAGAAGCACAGTTCCCGCTCAGCCCAGTCAAAGCTATTTGCTGCTCTGGCACCCCAATGGTGGAACAAGCTCCCCCACGACGCCAGGACAGCGGAGTCACTGACCACCTTCCGGAGACACTTGAAACCCTACCTCTTTAAGGAATACCTGGAATAGTATAAAGTAATCCTTCTACCCCCCCCATCCCCCACCATAAAAAAAAAAAAAAGATTTAAAAAAAAAAGTGGTTGTCCCACTTGCTATCATAAGATCAATGCACCAATTTCTAAGTCGCTCTGGATAAGAGCGTCTGCTAAATGATGTAAATGTAAATGTAGATTGATGAGGCAATACATTAATTTAATCAATTTTAGAATAAGGCTGTAACGTAACAAAATTTGGAAAAAGTCAAGGGGTCTGAATACTTTCTGAATGCACTGTAAATTGGAACATAACCTTGATTGCACCCGAGAACAGTTCTGTATTCCCCACACTAACATCGAATGTTAAGAATCAATCTAGCTGACTGGAAAACATGACAACCCTCAAGTACAATGTTCTGAGCATTACATTTAAAAAATAATAATTCTACATGCTGAGTTATGGAGCTTACCTCCAGGACCATAGCGCTGAACTCCTTGTCCTTGTAGAGCTGCTTAGCACAAGCTAGAATACTAGACGTCTTCCCTGTGCCTGGAGGTCCATAGAAGAGGAGATGTGGCAGCCTGTCCTCACTGATAAACTTCTGGACTGAAGAAAGCCAGGGTTGGTTAAGACATACTGTTACATAGAACTTATGCAAAACATGTTATAATTCATTTGAGCATGAAAACCTTATTTGGAATACATTCACTTGACCATACAATTGAATTGTTGCTGGAATGGATAAGGGTCAGATTTTCTACAGTAGTTCCATCCCTGCTGTTTCAAAGATAAACAAAAACATACTTACTGGTGCTTAATATGTCCTTGTGAGAAATCAAGTCATCTAGGGTCTGTGGCCTGTATTTCTCAACCCTAAAAATATGTTTAAAAATGTCAGACACCATCCGCGCATGCGTGGCTACATTAGAGTCAGGGAAGAGGTGGTGGGAGTAGAGAGCTGCGTTCCTGCTGAAACTATAAAATAAAATAAATTGTCCCGCAGATTATTTCAAACGGTTGTCTTTCTGTTTAGTATGTGTTATCTATTGTATTAAAAGCACATCTTTGTCGTACTATTCACAAACTCTCATAGGATAATTCTGCTTCAAGTTCAGTAGCCTACCTTTCCTCTCTTTTGTTGGGGGTGCGAGACCAAGTGCGCCTATATGTGTGGTCTCACTTAAATAGTCTGTAGACTAGGCTATATGGGCGGAGATGCACGGCGCAGTTGTCTCCCGAGTGGCGCAGTTGGGAGACAACTAGAGATCCTGGTTCGAATCCAGGCTCTGTCGTAGCCGGCCGCGACCGGGAGAGGCGCACAATTGGCCCAGCGTCGTCTAGGGTAGGGGAGGGAATGGCCGGCAGAGATGTAGCTCAGTTGGTAGAGCATGGCGTTTGCAACGCCAGGGTTGTGGGTTCGATTCCCACGGGGGGGGTATGAAAAAAAAATATGTATGCACTGGATAAGAGCGTCTGCTAAATGACTAAAATGTAAATGTCTTTAACTTATATATATAAAAAACATGGGGGATTGGAAGTGATGCAGACAATTACATTGATAGAAGTTACAATCTATCTGCAATATTAGGCTGATCTACCCCCAGTAAAAAAATATATATACAAAAAAAAAAAATATATATATATATATATATAATGTCTTTAACTTGCTAAATATGGAAGGATTTTTATGCCATTGAAATCCTTGGGCGGGCCGCCTAAGCATTCTTTCGGGTCACTTAAGTCCAAATAGTGTAAAAAAGTTCATGTCTATCTGCAGACTCCGGTTACTACACTGAACAAAAATATAAATGCAACATGTAAAGTGTTGGTCCCATGTGTCATGAGCTGAAATAAAAGATCCCACAAATGTGTTTACATCCCTGTTTGTGAGCATTTCTCCTTTGCCAGATAATCCATCCACCTGACAGGTGTGAAACATCAAGAAGCTGATTAAACAGCATGATCATTACACAGGTGCACCTTGTGCTTGGGACAATAAAAGGCCACTCTAAAATGTGCAGTTTTGTCACACAACACAATGACACAGATGTTTCAAGTTTTGAGGGAGCATGAAATTGGCATGCTGACTGCAGGAATGTCCACCAGAGCTGTTGCCAGATAATTTAATGTTAATCTCTCTACCATAAGCCACCTCCAATGTCATTTTAGAGAATTTGGCAGTACATCCAACTGGCCTCACAACTGCAGACCACGTGTATGAAGTTGTGTGGGGGCGAGCGGTTTGCTGATGTCAACGTTGTGAACAGAGTGCCCCATGGTGGTGGTGGGGTTATGGTATGGGCAGGCATAAGCTACAGACAACGAATTGCATTTTATCAATGGCAATTCAATGCACAGAGATACTGTGATGAGATCCTGAGGCCCATAGTCGTGCCATTCATCTGCCGCCATCACCTCATGTTTCAGCATACTCACCAGACATCACCCATTGAGCATGTTTGGGATGCTCTGGATCGACATGTACGACAACGTGTTCCAGTTCCCGCCAATATCCAGCAACTTCGCACAGCCATTGAAGAGGAGTGGGACAACATTCCACAATCAACAGCCTGATCAACTCTACGAGAAGGAAATGTGTTGCGATGCATGAGGCAAATGGTGGTCACACCCACCAGATACTGACTGGTTTTTCTGATCCACGCCCCTACTTTTTTGTTGTTGTTGGTATCTCTGACCAACAGATGCATATCTGTATTCCCAGTCGTGAAATCCATAGATTAGGGCATTATTTATTTATTTCAATTGACTGATTTCCTTATATGAACTGTAACTCAGTAAAATCTTAGAAATTGTTGCATGTTGCGTTCATATTTTTTGTTCAGTATACATGCCACGGCCACTACATTCTGCACCCACTATGTGTCACTTACTACATGTCGCGCCCACTGCCATTGAGCTGCTAGCGCCGTCTCTGACCAGCACAGTAGGTGGCAGTAATGCACCAATATTGGATGCCAACCACCGAAAAACCCCACCAAAGAAGAAGGAGGCTGCTAGCTAGCTAGAGCTTCGCCCCCGCCTGCCGAGCACTGCTTACCCGCAGTTATGTTAAAGTTATGGAGAGGGAAGTAACTAGCTAGCTAGGACACAGGTACATAGTGTCCTTCGCTCCCGCCTGCCGAATACTGCTTTCCCGCAATTCTGTTAACATTACGGCGAGGGAAGTAGCTAGCTAGTGTAGCCAACCCAACTCTCGCGTGGCACTACCAGGTAGTGATTACCCTCGCCGTAACGCCGGCATGCGTTTTGGTACACCAGAAGTACATTCATTGCCAATGGAACGCTGCGTTTGCGTTGCAGAGGCAGTTGCAGTGTGGTGCATATGTTGGACTTATCGAACGTATGCATCACATTGTATGCATAGACGGCTTGACATAAATGGTAGCAGAAGGTGAATGTTGAACTTCTGTTGCATATAGTGTGTGCCGGGGTCCTAGCTAGCTAGCAGCCTCAATGGCAGTGGGCGCAGCATGTAGTAAGTGACGTGTAGAGGGCGCAGCATGTAGTAAACACCATCTGCAGATAGACCCTACTCTAAAGCTTCATGTCCATGTGTTAAACTCTGCGTTCCTGCGGAAATCATTCATTGTCAATGGAGCAGTCCACAACGCTATGTTTGGGATGCCGCACTAGGCTGCGTGCGTTCTGTGTATCCCACGCTATCAATATTTTCAACTCGTGCTCGTGCGTTGCATTACCATGCTGTGGTACAAACAGAAGTTCATAAAAGTTATCCATTGGGAAGGAAGGAAATGATAATGACTATTTTGTAATTAGAGACAAGAATGTATCCTGTAAGAATCACACTGGGACAATTCATCATTACTACACTTGGGTTGTGCAAACCAGCCAACAGAATGGCGTGCAAAGTCAATACACACAGAACTGTTCTGTGCGTAATTTAGCATGCCATCATGCAGGGCAAGCTAGTGATTTGAAATAGTACTCTATATGAGAACAACCAGTTCAATGTATTGATGTTGCTAGAGATGAATATGACAGAAGAATAGAAACAAACTTGTTGGTAGCTCTGCCAGCCTATGAAACCAGTAGGACGATAGAAGAATAACCTTAATCTGTTCTAATTATTAGCTTTGGTCGAAAAGGGTGAAAACGATTCTCGCCATGCTGCGAACCGTTCTGCTGCCCTGCGAAGCACATGTGCGTCAAGTACGGAAAGTGGGGGTTAGACATCCGGCAAAAACAACCTACTGCAAAACGCACGTGCATCTGGTGGACATATGGCGTAAAAATCGGCCGGCCCGATTGTGCCCCTGTGTCACGCCCACCTAAACCCGGTTTTAATCCACGAAAGGAGATAGATATTGATAACAAATATATTTTACTCAGCTTGCAAATTGTCCCGCTTCTAAAAGTTATGCAAAATGTAGCTCAAGTGTCCACTCTCCTATATTTCGCCCCAACTCTACTCTCTTTCAAACTACGTCTACCCTATTGGCTGATGTAGCCCAATAATACCGATAGCCTAATACATTGGGCTACGTGAGAATCTCTCGTATTTTAACCTATTTCTTAGTATATCTTTGCGCATTTTGATCTTGACTAGGGTGGCAAAATTGCTGGGACAGTGGCAGCGTCACATACATCTAAAATAACATTGCGGGACTGCGGTCGGGTTCGGGACCAGTTCTATCTGGAGCTGGTGGGTGTCGGACAAGAAGTCAGCGGGATGAAGAAATCAGTATCATCAAACACTGACAGGCATGTAAGATGTCCATGACTACAACGATACAAGTCAGAGAAAATACACATCACACAAACAAGGGAAACATTGATAGAAGTTCCGCGAGCTATTGTAGCTAAAGGTTTCCACTAGATAACACAGCCATAAAATAAACATTAGCTACAACAATTAGCTTTTTTGTCTTCATTTATGAATAGAGATAGCCATAAGATTAGCAGTGTGGTTAGGTCTAAAATCATTTTAAGAAGATAAATTGTAAAAACGGGCGGGGTTTAGCCATAATTATGACTTTGTGGCTGTGTTAACTAGTGACGACCCCCTTGCTAAATCCTGCTAAACGTAGCTAGCAAAGTAGCATCTGACACCCGCTAGCTAGGTCATTCAACTTACCACGGCAAATTTCTTGACTGCAACGGTATCTTGATGGTCGATGCCATTTGAATCGATTCAAATGCACGCGTTTATTTATTTAGTTAGCTAGAAAAGAGCGCTTCAATCTCTAATCTGCAAAAATTTCTTGGCGCGCTCCACTTCAACAAAATGTGCTTTACGTCACGATAGAGCGTTTACGCCAGGTCTGCAACCAATCGCATCCGTTGTTTTACTGTGGGCGGAGTCAAATTAATCTTTATAATATTTCGCGGCAAGCCTCCATTTCTTTTCCGACGACGTACCTCTCCAAGCAGCAGCTTTTCTCGTTCTGTCCGTAAAAGACAAAGAAACATGTCCGACGAAGGAAAACTTTTCGTCGGTGGCCTGAGCTTCGACACCACAGAGCAATCTCTTGCAGAAGCTTTCTCCAAGTACGGAAACATCGCTAAATGTGATGTCATCATGGACAGAGAAACAGGAAGGCCTCGTGGATTCGGCTTTGTAAAGTACGACAATGCCGAGGATGCTAAGGACGCTATGGAGGGAATGAACGGCCAGTCTCTTGACGGCAGAACCATCCGTGTGAATGAGGCAGGCCAGGGTGGTGGTCGCGGCGGCGGCGGAGGAGGCGGTGGATTCCGTGGTTCCCGAGGTGGCGGTGGATATGGTGGCGGTGGAGGATATAGTGGTGGCGGAGGATATGGCGGTGGCGGAGGCCGTAGCTATGGAGGCGAAGAACGGGGATACGGAGGTGGTGGCGGAGGCGGATACAGGAGCGGCGGTGGTGGAGGCCGAGGCGGTGGATACTCCTCCGGCGGTGGCTACAGGGACAATAATTAGGGCCTTGGGAAGCTACGGGGACCTTTTGGGGAATCCTACAGGGACAGTTACGACAGCTAGCTATGCTGCAAACGAGTAACACTCCGATTCAAGATCATAATTTGACTGTCTCTTCAAGAAATGTCCGTGTTGACCTAAAGACTTTTGTTGTAATCTTAGTCCTATTCTCATGTGTTTTCAAGTAGCTAGCTCGAGTATCTTTACATTTAGCCACGTGTGTCGGCCATTGATTTACCATGTTCGTGGTCTTGCCCAATAACATTCCACCTGGGAGAGATTTTGTACATCTGATCTTTGTTGATTTTGTACATCTGATTATTTTTTGTTGTCAATTGTCATCATTGAGCCTATTAAAACGATTTGTTGAAAAAAAAAGTTCTCACGTCATTAGTAAAACCATTTTGCCATATCAAATTAACGAAACAGCGGCGATCTTAAGATGTTATGAATTGATGCGTGTTTGTGCACGAATTTACTCCTTACAGATGACCACCGGTCGTTTAGCTACGAAAAGGACAACCCACTCGAAAGTCGTCCTTAAGGCATTTGGTAGAGGTAAATTCAGACACCGTTAGTCATATTTTAAGCTAAATGACCGCGGGGTGCATGAATTTTCTATATTCTTGACGCCCATTCTCATACAGAACTGGATACGGAAGTAAAGCGGAACGGGTCATCACTTCCACGGAGGTGCTTTGATCATGTTTAGTTGGCAAAACACTAAGGCAAGATGGCGCACCAAAAATATTTCTACCGAAATGCCAAATAATCCCTCCGTTCAACAGTGCCTTGGTAGGAAAGGTAACCCCACGATTGACTTTTATACATTTTGTTTAGTTGTGGCCATCTTTGTTTCCCACCTTAGTTGTGGCCATCTTTGTTCCCCCCCCTGCCAAATAATCGTTTCCACTAGTTGACGCAGCCACAAAGGCAACATTGGCTATATCGGAAACATGAATGAAAACAAATTGCTTTTTGGTCTTTAGGGTATTAAGTTAACCGCGTGGTTCGGTTTAAAAACAGATTTTAAGATAAATTGTAGAAATGGGCTGGGTTTATGACTGGCTGGGGTAACTAGTGATGACCACAAGCTGTCTACCGCCATTTGGGTTGTATAGAGAAGTACGCCCAAGAGTTTGGGGGGAAATCTGACTCGCTGAAATGCATGCAAATGTAGTGTTTTCATAGACAACATGCTCTTATCAAAAAGTGAGTGACACTTGTCTAATTGTTTTTAATATGGCAGTTGAAATAAAATATTTAAATCAAGAGACAAAATAGGATGCCACAAATCAAACTCAATTTGGGTTTATTAAAATGTTTGCCTGATTATTGTAAGGGGCTCAGACAGCCTACAATAAACCCTTATGATTGCCTGTTATTTGTGCTTGATTAGCTGTATTTCTGATCACATACTGTAAGGTAGGCACAACACAGACCTCATTCTAGAATTCACTAGAAACGGAAACACTAGTGTAGCCTTTACAAGCCAAGCAGCTCTATTTTTAATTGTGTGTTGAGGCCTGTTCAGTCCAGCAGTGAGACACAATGCTGTCTGATGTCTCTGCAGGTGACAGAGGAAATGTCATAAAAATTACTGGTTCCCCACTACCTGCCTCAATCAAGATGACACACACTTGTAACGCTTTACATTGTCCCCCTGTTTATTTCCCCCCGACCCACAGAAGAGAAAGAGCTGTCATAATGTATAATTCAGTAAGAGATGTTGGCCTGGCCTACTCACTCACTCAGCGTTCTGTAATTTAATATAGCAATAACTATTGCAGTTCATTTGGAGTATACAATTGTAACATGTATGGTTATTTTAGTGCAGTGGTGGAAAAAGTACTCAAATGTTATACTTTATCAATATCAATTATACTTGAGTAAAAGTAAAGATACTTTAATAGTAAAAGTGAAAGTCTAAAAGTATTTGTTTTTAAAAAATACTTACATATCAAAGATAAATGGAATTGCTAAAATATACTTAAGTATCAAAAGTAAAGGTATTATTTCAAATTCCTTATATTTTGCAAACCAGACGGCAGAATTTTCTTGTTTTTTATTTATTTACGGATAGCCAGGAGCAAAGCATTTGTGTTTAGTGAGTCCACCAGATTAGAAGCGGTAGGGATGACCAGCGATGTTCTCTTGACAAGTGCGTGAATTGGACCATTTTCCTGTCAAAATGTAAAGAGTATTTTTGGGTGTCAGGAAAATGTATGGAGTAAAAAGTACATTATTTTCTTTAGGAATGTAGTGAAGTAAAAGTTGTCAAAAATATAAATGGTAAGGTACAGATACCCCAAAAAACGACGTAAGTAGTACTTTAAAGTATTTTGTACTTAAGTACTTTATACCACTGTTTTAGTGTGTGTGTGCAGTGGAGGGTAAACACAAGTACTTTTTTTTGCACAACAGCTTGCCCACCTTTTACAGAAAAATGCATTGAAAGTAGAGTTTTTTTCCACTGCGATCAGAGTTTACCCACCATTTTTTTCTCTCTCCACTACATCATTGTGTGTCTCTGTGTGGATTGATCAAGATACAAGTAGCCTAAAAAGGGCACATGTAGGAAAGCCTAACTAAACAAATTGTCCCAATTTGGTTTGGTGAAAAATTACATAATTACCATCCTGACAACGTATTAAAATTATAATGTGGAGCTGATGATGGGTCCCACTGGTATGAAGTTAAAACTGAGTTCATGCTCACTGCACTGATATAATCTCGCGATATCTCCTCCCGCACGCTGCATCACTCGTTGGTTGTGGCCCCCTTTCTCTTCTACCGCAGCTTCCCTGGGCGATGCTGTGGATTTGATTGACGGGAAACATGTCGGTGTGGTGGTGGGAGCGAACCGGGATGCAGCTGCTGACATGTGAGACGGGAAGAACCTGTATCCAATCCACACAGCATCACCTTTAAAATGATTATACGAAGCTGCTTTAGTATTATTGATTCGTTATGTTTTTTTATTTGAAATGAACAAACAGAACGCTGACTGGATTTATTAGATAAGGCTTGATCGGTTGTGTTCTGATTTTTATTTCTGTTGAGGAGGTATAGCCTAGGCTATCTGCATATTGTGTTTGATGATATAGCCCTCAGCATCAGTACCAGTCTCAATCAGAAACACCTTGATGAACCACCACCTGGAATACAAGAAGGACTATTGCAATGAAGTCGCCTTTCACATAGATCACATCTCATTTCTTAACCAGTGTATATAATAGATTATACCACCACGTTGGCTGGCGTTTTGCAGGGTACTTTATTACATGGAGCTATTTCCACCTTTATTTTCCGAGTAGAATATTTTTGTTGAAGTACACATAAAAACGACCACTGCTCGCAAACTATGGACGTGGAGAATATGACAAAAAGCGACGAGCAGCATCTGAGTTTGCAAAAAGCCTTGCAGCAGTGCGAGTTGGTGCAAAATATGATAGACATAAGCATTTCGAGCTTGGAGGGATTGAGGACCAAATGTGCCACATCCAACGACTTGACACAAAAAGAAATACGAACGCTGGAGGTAAGCAAAAGCACCCATTCTGTAGAATGAATAGGCTACGGCTGCATTGAGGCTAATCAAGCTATGTATTTTCATCAAAATCAATGTGGGGTTGGTTGTCACGTCTGTCAATCAACATCAATGTACATTATTCAATGTAGTTTAAACTGTTGACGACTATACCATTGGAATACTGTGTTATTTCAATGTTATAGGCCTACAGCCTAGATGTGTTTTATGCAGTGTAATAAATCAAGAAATCTGTAGCTGCAGTGAGCGAGCTGTTGTGGGCTTGCGCATTCTGCAGGTGGTGGAAAGAAGGTGGAACGTTCAGCTTTAGCACCGTACACTCTTCTCCACCAGAATTCTCCATGAGAACGTTGAGGCCTAAACATGATTTGTTTAGGATTTATATCATTATCATCATTATTGCCATTATCATCAGCTCGCGCTTCTATCATCAGCCAGACTATATTGCAAGTGTGTATTAGTGAAATTGCTTCAAATTGTCATCCGATTTAATTGGCCCACAGGGTATTCCGTAAATTGCTTTATGTAATGGCCATGATATTATCCAAATCCAGTGTTGTGTTTTTGATATCAAAACATAGATATATTTGTTTGTCAAATTAATAAAATAGGCTCTGCACACCCTGTGTACATTTCAGATGCACTTAGGCCCCAATGTGGTTTAAACTACGTAGACATTCCCTGGTGTGTTCCAGGCTGAGGTTTTAAATGGAACTATATAAACCGAGGCCCAATGTGATGGGACTTGATATGTGTGAGTAAAATAGGGAAACTTAATTATATTAAACATGATGAGATGACGTTTTTTGTGACCACAGATGAAGGAATAGTAGGCATATACTGTTTGTTTATTAACTTAATCATGTAGTTTCCCCTTTCCCCACTGATACAAGGAAAACAAATCCACATCTGTCTCTCATATGGATTTCATATAAATAGGCACACCATTTTACAATATATTTTTAGGGATACTGTTAGTAGGCCTAGAGGCTGGAGTTGAATTGAATTTCAGAGTGGAGAAGATATTGAAAACATACAGTATGGCCCCGATAGCTAGGCCTTCAGTATGGCCACAAATTAACTTATTAGCCTACATGTTAGTGAGAATAGATTCCATAATATGTCTAGCTGTCACAATTATTTGATCTAACAAAAGTTCACAGTGTGAAGTTCCTTACTTCCTAGCCACCAATCAAAAACACCACTTTGAAATGTACGGCTAATAGTTTGACTCAAGGAAACTGTGCTGTGTCATGCAGGTATCTTCTGTCAGGAAACACATGGTTACATTAAAAAACCCAAAAATACCTGTCTGCCATTGAAGGCCAATTTACGTGTAGTGTATGTGCAAGTGTTTGCATGCACACTGTTTGGGCCTTCTGAGGCAGAGGGCAAAGTAGATGATGGAGAAGTCATATTTGGTAACACTTTACATAAATTTGCTCATCTTCCT